ATTAATTTATGGATATTTTAATCAAAATTCTGATGAAGTTACAAGAAAATGAGAAATTTAAAGTTAAATTTTCAGAAAAATCGCAAAAATTCGCCAAAAAATATCGATAAAAATGCAAATTTTGTGAATTTGAAAGCAAAATTTCGAAAACTGTGGGAATATAAACATTGAATATAAAATTCTGCACGTTTTAAACAGATTTCTGGTAAATTACAAAAATAAACTCAAAAATTACGAGAAACTCAAACAAAAAACACAGTTTTGCAAACAGAAAATAACAAAAATAATTGTTATGCTTCTGTGCAACAATGCATCAATAAAATTGCATACTCAAAGAAAATATTATTGTTAGACATATAACTGATGTATTGCAAGAGCAATAACATGAACATGAACATGAACAGATGTGTCCATCACTGATCTGAATACAATGCATATGGAAATACAAAAACGAAGAGAAGAAGGAGAAACAGTTCCACAGTTAAATTCAACAATCCTCATAAATTTATAACGTTTCTAATTTCTTTACTTCTTAACCTTAAAAGCAAAGCAAAGCAAATCAAAGCAAATACAAGAAAATCGTAAAAGTAAGGTTAACTGTCATTTTTGGCAAATTTTAAGTTAAATTTTGGTAATTTAGAAAGGTAGAGGTGTGGAAAATTAAAATGTGGGCATTTTAATCAGAATTCTAAAAGTTTTTCAAGAATAATACGAAAGTTAAGTTAAATTTAAAAAAAAATGTAGAAATTGGCCGAAATTTAGCAAAAAATTCAAATTTAGCAAATAAAAAGCGCAATTTCGAAAACTTTAGAAAAGTTCACATAGAAAATTAAATTCTGTACTCAACCTAACCTAAAAATGTTTAAGAAGGTTAAGTTTAAGGCCTAATTACATTTGTGTGTGTATATGCCGAGTAACAACTTGTTCTAGATGAATATCTTGTCTAAAATTGATTTTCAGAGCATACGCAGCATGTAAGCGACAATTAAACGAAAAATTCGATTCAATCGAGTCGTTGACAACTGCAATTATCAATTATGTGTGTATGTACACTTTGTACCGCGTCATTCCGACACGAACGCATGGATAACGGGCACTGCGATACACGTTACACCCATAGGATAAAAACGGTACTTTTTCGATCTCGACGTAACCGCATACATATTCATATATTATTTATATGTGTGTTGTACAACTCTACGCGGCCGGCAAGAATCTGGTTTTGGACTGTTATGCGAATATCTGCTAATAATATTTATCTAGACTACTTTTAGGCAAATTAAAAAAAGTGTTTTGAGAGATTTAAAATTAATTTTGTGAAGAAAAACATGAAAATTATGAGAAAATTTGTAAAAAATTAAAAATTTAACCGAAAATTTTCTAAAAAGAAATTTTTGGGGCAAGTTTTGAACAAAATTTTTACTAATTTTAAACATTTTTGTTTGAAAAAATATAAATTCTGCATTTTGAAGTTAATTTTGCAAAGAAAAACACAAAAATTACAAAAAAATGTAAAATTTTGTCAAAAAATCAGGAAAAACGAATTTTTTTAGTAAATTTTGAGCAAAAATATAACTAATTTTAAAAATTAATCTAAAAAAATCAAATTCTGCATTTAAAAATTAATATTGCAAAAAAAAAAACACGAAAAATTCGATAAAATTTGCAAAAAACTTAAAATTTTGTCAAAAAATCACTAAAATCTTTTAAATTTTTACTAATTTGAAGCAAAATTAAAAAACAACTCTTAAAAAACATGAATTCTTAATTTTAAAAACTTTCCTTGATAAAAACAGTCAATAAAAACTTCTAATTTACAAATAAATAAAAGAATTATCACTATCATTCTTCTAGCATCCGTAATTGTCGGTGTGAAACACTTGTAACACCGTGAGAAACACAAACTCTTTTGTTTCTAGTTTAATTGCGTACAAATTGTTTTACTACCGTTTTTTAGAAGGCCACACTGTACGCCGTTTTTTTTATCGCTCGCAATGCAAATAGGTTTGTTGTTTTTCTGTGTCGCATGCAGTATGATAATTTTATTTTATTTGCACCTTGCTCAGACAGCAATAACACTTTAATTCGTTGCAATAATACACCATGACGTAACACATACATCATGTGAATGTGTGCATTACGTAAATAATATTTTTTAAAAACCAAGAAAATGATAGAAAATAATGTAATGTGGAGGCGCCTCTTTGGTAAAAGACGTGTCATAACTGTTCGTGTATGTAAAGATATGGATAATGAATAAGTTGCTTCCGAGTAAGCGGAATGTGTTCGTAGTTATATTCATTAAAGTTCTTTCTCGAATCGCCGGTGAGCGCATCACACCATCGCGAATTGAGTGCATGGAATGATCGCATCGGTGGTGAATAAATTAAACGCGTCTATGGACTATCATTAAACCGTAACGTGTAGTTGTGTTGCAAGTAATATTACACGGGTATAACATAAGTTAGGTTAGAATATTGACGGCAACTCTTTAACCTCAATTTAACCTAAAAATTTCGATTTAAAAGAAATTATCACGTGACTTTTGACAAATTCAAATGTCAAGGCTAAAAGAAAGCTGTCAATTGTCATTTTATGTCAAATGTGTAAAAAATTATATAAATTAAATGGATATTTCACGTTTTGTGAACTTTTTGACATATGCAACCAGTAAATCACTATTAAAACTTCATTTTAGTGCTATAGATGATCTATCACATGATTTACATGATCATATCCTTTAATTCTCGACGTGTTTCTATGTTTTTCTGCAATATGTTTGTCAAATATTGCAATTGTGACTTTCTTTCATGATTTTCTTTTCTAGTATGACCATAAAACACATCGTACAATAAATTTTACTTCACAAAAAGTGAAAATACAATATGTACCTATAGAAATGTGAAATTTTCAATCCAGTTCTGCCGATCAACTTATTGCTAATGCAATCCAAGTACTTTTTCCACATATAATGCGCTCGTATAAATTTTTCCCGCCGATTAGCAATTTGTCTCTTGGAATAAACTTTCACAATTTGCACTATCACATCACCTGCATCGTTAATCATTTATTCTACATTTTCTCTTGGAATTTAATATTTATTTAAGTAAATATTATTTTTTTTAGCTTAAAAATTAAATTTTGATAATTTTTCTAGTGTAATTTATTAATTATCTATGTATTGCAATATTGTACGCACATTGTTGCGGGTTTATGGCGAATTTATCACGAGAGCCGCATCATAATTCACCCGTAGGACTATTACGTAAACATAAACGGCCACAAATCAACCGTTGCATACACGAATATTGAAGAGCCATATGACTGCATCGGCTATCGCCAAAGGTCACAATGTTGAAACGAGTGAAACAGCCGTGAAAGAAATTTATAGGCGCTGCGCGATCGTAAATAAATCCTGTCTCATCGCGCAAACTATAAAAATATAATCTCCTTGTAACAACAAACTCTATATAACACCAAAATGTGTAAAATTTGCTTGGTTTATATTAATTTTTCTGTGTAACGACGAAAAATATTTTCATTTCCAGCGAATTATGACCTAGAATATTTTTTAAAGACATGACATCGATGATAACATTTGAAATATTGTTGTAATTATGATCCCAACATCCCTATAAATTGCAATGCAAATTTCTATAACTTAGGCACGGTTTTTCAGCTAATTTGTTGAGATGCACAAGAAGTTACAACAAAATCATTTAATCAAAACACAAGCGAATACAACTGTACGACGCGGAATTCATATTTAGACTTCAGGAAATATTTACCGGCATTTTTACAAGAATAATTGAGTTTATAATCAATTTACAAAAGATTAGATAGATGCATATGGCATAAAATCTCAATATTTGATATTTTTAAAATAATAAAATGCTGGGATGTGAATTTTAAGTTCAATACCGGTTTTTCGGTATACCGATATTTTTATAAACCAAAATATTAGTATTTCAGTATATAACTGAAACAATACTAATATTTAAATATGAAAATACCGGTATTTTACACAATATCGATATTAATACCGGTATTTTCGAATATTTCGCGATACGCAAACAAAACAAACGTAATCAACACAAAACCAAAGTGAAGGTGAGTGGATTAGTAATAGTAAAGTGTGTGTATCCATAGCTAGAGTAGAGTATAGCGACAAACGGCCTTGTGTCCTTGATCCTCGTCACGCCGGTCGTCGCGCCTTTGCTCTCCCGAAGAGAGCACGAAACTCTTTAACTCGGTTCTTAAACGCCCGGCAGCGATGTTAGAATATGCCGCGGCGAACAGAACTGGACACGCACACAAGACAAGACATTAGAAGACAACATACAACATACAACATACCGGCATGTTTTTTGCATAATAACACCGCTGAATGCCAATCACACAAAACGCAAATTCAAAAACAAATTTTTCTAGCGTAAAACAAACAAAATTCAAACATTTTACATCGAAAAACCTAGAATTTATCGCATGAAATATATGGAATATGTACTTATAGTTGTTACAAACGTGACGGCAAGAATTTGCCACACCTTCTCGATGGTCTTACGCTTTGAATTTTATGAAAACATTGCCATTCCAAGTGTGTAGACACAAAATACGCGCATACATCGGTAAACAAAGACGGCGCGTGATTAATGAATAGATACAATTGAAAAACCATGCGAAAAGACGTGTTTGCAACAAGATAATTAATAATATTGCAATAATATCGCAATCATTATCATCATCAGACACAATGTAAACAATTCTTGAATCTACTTGAAAGTAGGAAGTAGATTATTATGATTATCAATCGATTTTTCTGTGTCAGTTGAATGCAGAGGTCAATAACTCCTCATTACGCTTTATTTCATTATTGTTAACTTGCAATATTTTATAATATGTTGCAGTAGGTTAAACCGCGCGCGCGCATTCCTCGCAAGACTAATTAGAACAGAACACAAGCACAGGTAAAACATGAAAACGCGCTGTGGATTGCTCACCTCAAGAGTGGAAGCGTCGTGCGCTCGTTATTAAATCCCAAAAAATCCGAAAATCCAAGCGAAACACACGTCCGCACACCGCACAACACACAAATTTAATCGCCACGCACTGTTTGCAGTCGTCTGATAAAGATAAATCTGCAGAAAACACGCGTATGGTAAAACCGCGTGCTTGCTTGCAGCGCGCGCGCAGGTAAAAGAGACGCGAAACGCCGGCGCGCTCTCGCTACGTGGTGTGCACACACCGGCGATCAATTCGGAATTCTGATTGCCGGACTCTCCGGTTCACCATTCTCTTTTCGCCGCGCGGCTTGCCCCGACCTGGTCTTATTTTCCTTCCAGCGCGCGCGGCGTCTTCGATTTGCTTGCGCGTCGTAGATTCACCAACAAACAGGTGGTTTTGTGGTAGTAAGCAACGCGCGCATGCGCATCACCACACAGAAACCGGCTCAACTCATACTCATACAGCAAACAAATAAAATATAAATTCATACACGCAGCGACATCTGACGATCGAATAATGAATTATTATCGCGTGATATGCGTGGCATAAAATAAACATAAATTACCATTGTGGTAAATGATGTGGACGCATTCTACAAAGTAAATTTAATTCATTATCTCATCTATTAAACATCTTCATCATCTGTGTCAATATATATAGTCTATTAAGTTTCTTAAAAAGCATTAGTAAATGAATATAGTTATTGAATCATCATTGTAAAATCGACACAACAATCGCTGGCGCGCCAAGTGTTAACTGCATGTCCTTGCAACTTCATATGCCGCTTCATATAAATATATAATTTGTACACGTTCGGGCCGCAAAATGCAATATGGCCGCAAGCCGCTTCACGCCGCACATAAATTAAGACACATGACGGCTGGATTTCTCAAGATTTCATCGGAAAACAAATTACCGGTGCGACAAATTGGACACAAAACCAAAACGAAACTCGAAAACTGACTGGCCGCAATGATAAATTCAATGACTAATTAGATATCGAGCACTTCAGGCACCAAAACCTGCCCGCACGCATGCACAATCGGTACGAAACGCTCGACGCTGCTTAATCGCTAAGTATTTTTTTTCCTTAATATTACAACTTAATTATATAGAATCATCTTGTATTGTGGTGGTTGGGGGCCTAGATCTTCGAATTGCCGGCCTCTAGATCCCTTTTGATTTCCGCCTTGCATCGCTTGATATCCTCCTTGACTTTCTTGTCCTCCAAGCGGCGCTTCTTATAGGAACTCCATTGTTGGTCGTACTTCTTCTGCAGCTCCGCCATGTTGGTGGTGACCGTCGTCCAGTCGATGACCTTCTTGTCGTTGATGAGGTCCTCGTCGCGGCTGAAGTCCGTTTCGGTGGAGTATTCGGGGATCTCCAGACCTAAACGCTTCATTACCTTTTCGATTACAACGTCAACGTACGTGTTGATTATTAAGTCGGCTTTTTTATCGTGTTTTGTTGGCTGTAGATTGATTACTGCTAGTTTGCCGCAGTATTTCTTGTTGCAGATTGGGAGATTTCCGCTGGGGACTATTTGCAGGGTGCTGCCCAAGCAAATATTCAAATCGGCAATGCTGAAAGTAAAAAAATTGTGTTTTTGGTGAATTTTGGGTCAAAAAATTGATTTTACGCAAATATTTCAACTGCAAAATGATTTTTTACCAAAATTTTATGTTGAAAATTGTCTTTTGCGTTATTTTTTTGCCCCAAAATGTTTTTTTCGCAAAAAACTGGCTCCAAAATGTTTTTTTTGTACAAAAATATCGAAAAAATCACATTTTTCGCAAAAATATCGCAAACAAAACGATTTTTTTCTCTATTTTTATTTACCTTGAATGTAATTCTGATAATTTCAAATCATTATCAGGCAAATTCGCCTCCCAATCCAAGATTGTATCATACAACTTCCCGCGACAGTTGCGACCATTTAATCTTCCCCTAGGACAATTTTTATCCAAACATTTCTCACCAACACTGCTGGTTGCTATGCATCTAACAAATTGCCTGTAAACAATAAAAACAATAAATTTTACTCTTTTTATTTACTTCCGAAGAAAAACATACTTCTGGCATGTTTTACACTGCTCGGCAAACATATTCCCATGCAGTTCAGCCAAGTATTTCCTTGGCAAACCACTCCTCAAATGCAACCCATCAATATTCTGGCTGACAATAAATTTCACATATCCTTCCTCGACCAACTTCCGCAAAGCCATGTGAGTTTTAGTCGGAATTGCTTCATTGAAAGATGTGTTAATTGTGGGTTGCAGACCTTTTTGTTCTAAAGTCCACACACCATTGGGCCCTCTATAATCATTAATATACATTAAAAACAATTAAAATGATTAAACTTTGGTTTTACCTAAAGTCTGGTATGCCTGCAGATGTACTGATGCCGGCACCAGTATGAACAACAACATGTTTGGCCTGCAATATCCACTCAGCCAGCAGTGAGCACTTAATATTGATGCTTTCTTCTTTATCAAATATCTGTGCATAAGAAAAACAAAAATGCGTTGTGTTTAGCGTTGTTAACGAAACGATTTTCAATTGTTTTACCTCAGGGACACCAAGCACTCCTTTGTCCTCATAGTGGGAGAGTCCGTCCGCGTAACTACACGACATCTTGAGCGTCGTTTCTCGTGCTTTCCTCAAATAATCATGTCTGCATCGTGCACACGGTGTTTACACGCACTTATATAATAACAATGCAAATTGTTTTGATTCTAACATTGAAGTGCTTGCAGGTTAGAAACACATAAACAAAGCGCCATTAAAATGTATTGATTTAAAAATAAACCGTTTGTGCATGGTGCTGCAACCCAACATACACCAAACGCAGAAATTCAAACAAGTGCAGGAAAATTTACGACTAAAAACTTAAATTTATAGATTAATAATCATCTGCAGAGTTAAGTAATAGTGTGAGGAATGAATACGCGGCTTTGAGTGCGTTTGTGAACGTCTCTAAACAAACATGGCCAAAACCTTTGGCGTCCAGGTATAAATAATGATTACTACGTGCGATTATTAATATTAAATACTTTTGCGCTTCCACATCGGCCGTATACCAATCAGTAAAGTACATACAATTCGAAATTCCTTCAGACTGAAACATAAACAATTACATTTTATGCTTAAACTAGTAATAAAATACTTACTTCATTGATTAATCGTTGTCCGCAGTAAGAAATGACAAACAAAGCTAAAAGCCATCCAAAACCATGAATAAAAGTTTTCACCGACGGTTCTCTTGTGAATTGAAAGAAAACAATCGCAAGAATAATCCCTGTAAAGGTTGCATTCGCAAACGTTGCATTTCCTAGCGTCGAATTCATTTTTTCTGCCATTTTTATAATGTGTACGTGATATTTAACGCATAATTTCAATCGATTTTTGCGTTCTTCTTCATTTTCCACGTCGAAACATTCAGATAAAAGACGTTTTAAATTCGCAATGTGACACGTTAATAATTCTACAACCCCACAAGTGAATGCAATGACTAAAATTCCCGATGATATCAACATAGCGGCGTTCAATGATTGAATGAAGACATAAAGTTGATAATAAGGATAATCATTGAAATATTGTGGTAAATACGCGGGGAAAAACAATCCACAGATGCGTTTTATGTCTAGTTTTATACTTTCTTCTTCACAGGATGATTTTCCGATGACTCCGAAAAATGCGGAGGATAATACGCCGAATTGTGTGTAGAGAATGAATCCCATTGATAATAAATTCATGTTTGTGTTTGTCAGGTTGAAATTTGTGGGTTTTGGAAAGTAGTGAAAGTCTCCGAGGGATTTTGTTAGTTTTAGGACGTTTTTTTGTTGGATCATTAATGAAAGAGTCACGCAGAAGAGATTTGTTGCTCCTGCTACAGCAGCGAAGGCAGAAAGGAGATCGTCGGTGGAGAAATTATCATTTGCTTGAAATAAATATAAATTAATATAAATAATTAATGGAAATTGATGAATTAATTACTTACAAAAACAAATGTGGATTATTTCAGCTGTAGTTGCAACAGTGGGGATTGTACTAATGATTAAACTGAGTGATGCTTTTAGAATATAAAGTTTCGATGTGAAATTTTGTCCAACAGCTGGCCAAATTTGTAAAATTCGTAGAAAATAAAATGTTGCTTGGAGAACAGGAAATTCATCGTTATTTTTTGATATTTTTTCAGCTGTTTTACGTATAAACTTTGGTATAAAATTCATTTTGAAATAGAAATGTTAAAATGTACATTATTCAAGTTTATATACGTTAAAAATGTTTAAATTATTTATAGAAGTAAAGATATTATTTATAAAAGTGTCTTTTATTAAATTAATTGAAAGAAAAAGTGAAAATCAAAGAAATATTAATGTATTAAATATTTATGAAGAATAAAAGCATAAAATGTTTAAAAAATAAACTACAGATGTTGTGGAATGTTGTGATTTATGTAATTAATAAGTTCAAGGACAAAATCAAAGTAAAATTAAATATTTACGCGGAAATAACGGAGCTTTATGAATTCCTAACAACCAGAAATAAATTATATGGTTATAAGCATATAAATGCATTTTTACGCCACCTATTTTTGAATAATAAAACTATTAACATGATTCATATCTTATTTAAACTTTGAATCCTGATTTTACCCTTTTAAACATTAATTTTTCGAAAAACAACTACCCTATATCCTTTTCCGTATCCTAATCTATCTCTATACAAAAATTCATCAAAATTGGTTTAATGGTTCACGCGTGAAAGAATAACAAACAATCACTTTCGTTTTTATATAAAAACTAGCTTTAACCCGCGGCTTCGCCCGCGAATATCTAAAATAATGAAGTTGCTTCCGTACGCGTCTGTAGTCACAGAAGAAGTAACAATGAAATAGAATGGCGGGAAGTTTAAAATGGCTGATAGTATAGTCAATGGAAGTATAGTGTACAGTCTCCATAGTGTAGTCAATTGGATTTGATGTTGACGTAGCTGTCGGTAATACAGTGTGATAATACAGTGTGATGGTACTATAGTACTTAGGTTTGAGCTTCATTGCTGGAATGCTAGATGGCGTTAAAGTAGTCAAATTGCCAGATGCAGAGGTATTATTGGCTAAACAATTTCTTTACTTTATTTAAAAAATAATTATTTTTATTAAATAAAAAGTTGCCTATAACCATTCGGGGACCACTAAGAATATGTGTACAAATTTTCATGATGATCGGTTAAGTAGTTTTTGCGTGAAAGTGTAACAAACATCAGGACGTTCGCATTTATAATATTAGTAGGGATAAATCGTTAAACACATTTGTCATCACAAATCACGAACATATAAAATCAATATTACTCCAATAAACACTCTAGTTACTATCTATTCTTATATTTGCTATGCAATTGCATTCCTAGCCGTTTTTTACGTAACAACATGCTAGATAAAGACGATAAAAATTATCCATAAACATATTTCGCTATTCTAGAAAATCTAATAAGTACTTGAACATTTCATTTGTATATTCTAAATATTTGAACTTTACTCACCAATGGCGCTGATTTTTATTGTGAATATGATTACGAGACTTATCAAATAATCAATGTTTTTTAATATGACCAACTTGCAATAAATGTATGACACTCAAATTCCCACTGCAAAAATCCACGCATAAACATGATTCATACTTCTTTACGAGTACAATAGCAAACAAAATAACTTGAATACTAATATATGCACTGGCTTATCAAGTTACTTAGTACTGATAATATCCACATGTTTCAGGCACAAGTATAAAATGAATACAATCGTGGTGAAGTGTACGCAGTCGACACAATTATTTTTCACGACTTGAACGCATCAAAAATAACTACAAAATGGAAAAAATTGTTTTAATTATTGGTATTATATCAAGTAAGTCTAATAAATTAATTATATATTTTCTATTATATTTATTAATAAATAATTTATTTTTAGTACTTCCAAGTGTATTCGCCGTAGATTTTAACGTAACAAAACGCGAGAAATTCCCATATCAAGCATCCATACGCCGTGATGGAATTCACCTCTGCGGAGGAACGATTTATAGCAAACGACATGTTTTAACAGCGGCATCATGTGTCAACAACACAAAAGCCACCGACTGGCAAGTGATCACCGGAACGCTTAATTTGGAAAAAGTGAATGGTAACGAATCACAAATTATCATGGTGGAGAAAATGTGGGTGCATAAAGACTACAGCGGCAAAAATGTACAGAATAATATTGCTGTGTTATATCTATCGAGCAATTTGCAATTTAATAATTACACTCAAAGTATACCGATTGCAAGGAAATGGGTCGCGAAAGACGCGCAGAAATGTGTCGTCAGTGGCTGGGGTGCTAATGGCACACACTTTTATAGACAGACAGATCTACATCATGCTAATGTTACAATTGCCACAAAAGAAATGGACTGCAAGAGAACTTATCCACCGTTTCTTCAGAATGTTATGATGTGCGCCGGTGATGATTACTTAATTAATCCCTGCACGGTAAGTTTATTTAAAAAATTATTAGTTTTTATAGATTTTTCTACTTCTATCTTTGTTTTTTCAGGATTTTGAGACATAAAAAGTGGTACTTTAGCCATGGTCGTGACTAAAGTACTTTAGTCACGGGTTTTAGTAACGGGGTGAAGTACTATTGAAAATAGAGTGGAAGTAGAAAAATAACATAAGAATCACCTCGTAAACGTTGCAAAAGTGGCATTTAGCTCACTTGATAATTCATTCATTATTTTTACTTCCCCTTTAAAGTGGCACTTTAGTCACGGATAGCCAAGCCTACTACTACTAAAGTACTTTAGTCACGGGTTTTAGTCACGGGGTGAAGTTCTATTGAAAATGGAGTGGAAGTAGAAAAATAACATAAAAATCACCTCGTTAAACGTTGCAAAAGTGGCATTTGGCGCACTTGGTAATTAATTCATTATTTTTACTTCCCCTTTAAAGTGGCACTTCAGTCACGGATAGCCAAGCCTATGACTAAAATACTTTAGTATTAAACTTCTAAACTACTTTAGTCACGAGTTTTAATCACGGGGTAAAATTTTAATAGAAATAAAGTGGAAGTAGCAAACATTGCATAAACAACACGTGGCTAAACGTAGCTAAAGTGTCGTTTAGCGCACTTGATACTTAATCTATTATTATATATTTAAATTTTATTTTTTGTCGTTAGGGTGACCTTGGAGGACCTCTAGTATGCAATAATTCATTGTACGGTGTGGTCACGTGGAGAAGCAAGTGTGAAACCAGATATGAACCGGGAATGTACACGAATATTACCTACTTTGCTGATTGGATAACGAAAACGACGAAAACCAATAGTGCCACTTCGATGACTTCAACTGTGATGTTTACCGTTTGTGCTGCGTTGTTCAGCATATTAAATAATTAATGTGTGTTAGGTATTTGTTAATTATATACGTCTGAATTATTATCTATGTTTGTAAAGGCATATTATTGTATTTTTCCAATAAATTTTTATAGATATGTTAATGTGTTGTGGGTTTTTTTTGCTGGTTATTTAAAGAAATAGATAAGAAATTGATGTTTTCGTTAAATAAAGGCTTAGAATATATTTTAAACCATTGATTTTTTTATGTTTTAAATTTTTTAAATAAATTTGCAGTATAAATAGGTTTTTGGGAAAAAATGAAAAATTTTCAATTTTTATTTTGCTTGATTTTTAAGTTTTTTAAATATTTTTCTGTTTTTCCAATCAAAACGAAATGAAAAAGTAAAAATCATGAAATTCATAAAAGTTTCATTTATAAAAACGCAATATGTGACATTTAGTCATTTTATACCTCGTGACCACCTCGTGCTCTCCTAATCAATATTATATGTTTGTTTGTCACGCTTTCAAGCAAAACCACTCAATCAATTTTGATAAATTTTGGTTTGTAGATACTTTAGAGTTGCAAGAATGACATAAGCTACTTTTTCTTGAAAAATATAACATACAGAGTGTGTAAAATAAAAACCAAGTGTGTACAACTAAATGGGATGAAAAGGCCTATTGAACCTGTCCCCCGGTATTTACGTATTGAATATTAAATTTTATTTCAAATACAAGTGATCCCATTGAAGCCCCGGGAATAACATATTACTCATATCATATATCCATATCAAAAAAATATGTAAAAGCATTTATTATTACAAGTATCAGCAAATAAATAAGTACTTGATAGGGAACTCAATTTGACTATTTCTAACTTATCTTATCATCACATGTATCATACACACACGCATAGTTTTACTCACTATGCAAACCACAGCCATGTTCTTGATAAGCGCTTAGTGCTGCAGTAATATTAAATAAAACGCGATTCATCAGATCAAAAAAACCCTTCAAGCGAGAAAATGCTCGCTATAAAATATATTTAATCAATATTAACTTATTTAATCCACAACCAAGCAACATGAACTACCAAATACGTAAGAATTAATTTTATTTCGACTTAGGTTTATTACTTTTTTTATTTACTGAAGTTTTGTTTTTAATTTTAATTTTTAGTTCTTTTTGCCTTAATTTCCGTAATTTTGGGCGTGTCAGCACAAAACAGAATCGTCGGAGGTGATCGCGTCACCAATCGTAAACAATACCCATACCAAGTAAGTTATTCCACATAAAAACACAATAACATATTAATTAATCAACTAATTAATAACAATAACCTAGAAGTTTAACCTAGGCAACACAATACACATGTTTCTATTGCCTTAGATTTCACTACGACTTAGCGGCCAACACATATGTGGCGGTACCATTTACAAACCGCGTATAGTGATAACAGCCGCACACTGTTTGAAGGGAATGAAAGCGAGTCAACTGGAAGTTGTCGCTGGGGACTTAAACTTGAGAAACCCAACATCTCACACGCAGAGAATACAAGCAGAAGGGATTTACATTCATGAAAATTACAGTGATGTCGTTCTAAACGACGTCGGCGTTATTAAACTAAAGAAAAGCTTTACTTATGATGACTATGTGCGTAATATTACAATATGGAATGAGACATTATCAGGTAGTCCAACTGCCCCGGGTGTTAATTGTGTAGTTTCCGGTTGGGGAGCTACGCAATATGAAGGGGCAGTTGTTTCTGATTTGAGATATGTTAATATTAATGTTTTTACGGGTGTGAGATGCAGTTCTATTTATGGTAATAATTTTCAATCACCTGGGATGATATGCGCTGGTGATTTTTCAGAGTCTAAAGATTCTTGTAGTGTAAGTAAAATTTTTAGAGAAAAATTCAAAAAAAAAAATTTTTTTTTTCAAATTTTTCAAATTTTTTTTTAAATTTTAGGGTGATTCCGGTGGTCCTTTAGTATGTAATGGACAGCTTTATGGTATTGTCTCCTGGGGAGTAGATTGTGGTAAACCACATTTTCCAGGTGTGTACACCAACGCGTCATATTATCAAAACTGGATTGATACAAGCGCCGATGTTGATCAAGCATACTTTTTGCAAAAAATTTTGTTATTCCTCGGTTGTATAATTACAACCAAGACATTTTTCTACTAGTCAACAATAAATAATTACTTTATTTATTTCTTAAATTTTCTCTTTACCTTGGTGGAGTTCAAGTGGAAAATTTTGTATTTTTGCACAAAAAAAATCATGTTTTTATTGTGGTTCCATAAACTTGCAAATTATACAAGATAATGAAAACCTCCTAATCTCTTAATCCCATAATCTTCGAGTTGCCAAAAAGGTGCCATTTAACAGTCGTCAATTTAAAGATATAAAAGAGATAAAACTTTTGGACATGTGCGATATGAATGTTTTTATAATGCTCTGTTAATGACACAAAGACAAAAAAAATTGAATAAATGTTAAACCAGGTTCATCACTCGGCTTTCGGCGATAAGCCGTTTGTTTGCTCACTGATTTCGGCTGGCTGTAGACTCGACTGTATTTTTGTGGTGAATCATGAGAGTATTGACGCCACACGAATTAAAACGCGCTACCATTCTTCCAGCATCAGTCTTAAAGTAGAATTCTAACATGACCCACGTACACCCCACTGAGGAACCTTCCGCTTTCGATACGATCATTGAACAGATCGGGAAAGCGGGTAGGTTCCAGAAACGTTTCAATTTCACCTTCAATTTTTTCCTGGTTATTGTTGCGGCCATGCCACATTTAAACCTGGTCATCAGTTTGGCTACACCTAATCACTGGTGTCATGTACCAGGTCGTGAAACCACAAATTATTCAATTGAAGAATGGAAGAGCATGACCCTGCCAAAGTATTGATTAACATACCATGAAAAACATAGTTTTAGTAAAGGTTTTTCCAGGGAGTATGATTCCAAAGGACATCTTAGTTATTCCAAGTGTAAACGTTATGTAAACCCATACCTGGACCTACCTGGTAATGATACAGAAGATCTAGAGATGGATGTTACAAATTGTGATAGTGGTTGGGAATATGACCATACCTGGTATGATCAAACTGCACCAATGCAAAATGATTGGGTTTGTGATAATAACATGGTCTCAGCTAATACCCTAGCCCTTGGAAGGGCTGGGGAAGTAATTGGGACTTTGATTTTTGGTCAACTTGCGGATAATTATGGAAGAATGCCTGTGTTTTATGCAACAGTTGTGACTTTAGTGATTGGGAGAGCTATGTCCGCCTTTACATCACCCTGGGTCTCCGTTTTTATTATTTTCAGTATGATTGGGTCCCTACCTAGTACCTCGGTCTTCCAAGGACCACTTATCATAGCCATGGAGATATCCCGAACTGAAGACCGTGCGTTGATAAGTATGATGCAATGTTTTGTTGGAATGCTGGTATGGTCATGATGCCGCTCCTCATGTGGTGGTTACGTGATTGGGTACCATTTATGCTGGTGACGTCGCTCCCTGCGCCATTTTCTTACTGTCACGGCCGTAGGTTAATTTTATGGTGCTTTAATCCCATAACAACACAATCTATGTTTGCAGATGGATGATTGAGTCGCCGCGTTGGTTGGCATCCAAAGGCAAGATTAAGCGATGTTATCAGGAATTGGAAAAGGTGGCGAAAACCAACAAAACTGATATGCCCAATAATACTGAAGCTGTACTCAAAAAGGCTTATGATGTAAAGGGCACAGAGAAGAACCATACCATCTTAGGGTTGTTCTCAAGTCCCCGATTAGCAAAGAATACTATTATGCTGGTGTGTTGCTGGTCTATCCTTTTGATGATCTATATGTGTCTCACCATCAATGTGAACAACTTAGGTGGTAACCCTTTCTTGAATTATCTCTTTCAAGCTGTGGGAGAGTTACCTGCTTATATGATTGGGAAATATGTGAGTGATCATTATGGTAGGCGATGGACGAGTATCATCAGTTTTATTCTGACATCCCTGGCATGCGTTCCGATTATTTTTGTGATTAATGGTAGGTTTATCAAAGGTTTCCCAAAAGGATTTTAACAAAAATGTTTTTAGATATTGCAAGTCATTTGGTGATAAACAGCCTGTGTATCTTTCTAAAATTCAGCGTATCGCTGGCGTTTTACTCTGTCAATTTACAAAGCATGGAAATCTACCCAACTTGTGTACGCCAGACTGGTATCTCCGTGGGTGTTATTTTCGGCAGTGGATTTGGCGTCGTCTCACCATACATTGTCGCCTTGGTATACAACTTAATTATATTTACTTTCCTCTTAGTAATTTATTATTACTATTAATGCTAACAGGGTACCTCGGTGAATGCTATGTTACCATACCTGATCTTCTCGGTAAGTTCTCTGGTAGCAGCCGTGTGCTGTCTCTTCTTACCGGAGACCTTTGGTCATCAATTACCGGAAACTCTGGAAGATGCTTCCAACTTTGGCGCTGATCAAAACATATGGGGTAGGTCAACATCTCGCAAGTATCCCCAGGATGGAGCTGATGTACCATTGAAACAACCGATTTAATTATGAATAGACGTGGAGAATAATAACATTGTAATTGTTGTTACTTATGCTTATTTAGCCGTATTTAAGTAATTAAGTTCCCATTTATATATAGGAAGTGATGTTTTGCAGCGTCCACAATATTTACAGAAACTCTCATTATGGTAATCCTTTCGTAAATAAATTGTTATTCCTTATATAACCTGATTCATTTCCTGAATAAGTCAGTATGAATGTAAATCTTTTATAAAACACTTCATTCAATAAACCAACAAAATGTCTCAAGATGATACTTCAGAGGTACCCAACGCAATTGATGAAATCATGAAGAAAATTGGAAATGCAGGTCTCTATCAGAAAAGATTCAACATCGCCTTTAATTTGATCCTGTCTTTTTTGGCCGCCATGCCCTATTTGAACCTGTATATAAGTCTAGCTACACCTGATCATTGGTGTCATGTACCAGGACGTGAAAATACCAACTATACCATCAGTGAATGGAAAAATTTAACAATTCCAAAGTAAATTCTATTTTTTTTTTATATTTGTAGAACCCCTGAATTAATAAACTTAATTTTTCAGAGAAGTAGATTCCAAAGGTCTTCTTAGTTATTCAAAATGTAAAAGGTATGACACCTGGAATACCTCCAGTAGTAAAAACGAAGTAAAATGTGATAATGGTTGGGATTACGATCACACCTGGTATGATCAAACAGCCCCAACCCAAAACAACTGGGTGTGTGACAATGACATGGTACCCTCTGATACCATAGCCCTAGGATTTGTAGGAGAACTTGTTGGTACCATGGTAATGGGACACGTGGCTGATAATTACGGAAGAATGCCAATATTTTTCGCGTCTCTTATAATAGCAGTTTCCGGTCGGGTAATGCTCACGTTAACATCGGAATGGGTGTATGCTTTCCTGTTCTTCAGTTTCTTCAGTTCCCTGGTAAGCACAGCGTTGACCCAAGGACCATTTGTCATCGCAATGGAAATATGCCGACCTAAAGATCGAGCTCTTGTTGGTGTGATTGTGTGTTTCGGTACCAACATGGGTCTATCCACTATTCCTCTGCTGATGTGGTTGTTGCGTGACTGGGTACCATTTATAATCGTATCTACACTCCCATGCGCTATTTATCTATTCTCGCGACCTTGGATCATTGAATCACCACGTTGGTTAGCATCAAAAGGGAGGCTACAGGATTGTATCAAAGAGTTGTCTAAAGTTGCAAAAACCAACAAGACTGAAATGCCCCCTAATGCTGAAGCAATGCTTAAGAAATACTGTGAGCAAAATGGTCATGACAAACATCAAAGTGTGCTGGGTTTGATTTCCAGTCCCCGATTGGCTAAGAATACTGTTCTTCTTATAACTTGTTGGTGTATTGTACAACAGATTTATGTTTCACTTACTATCAATGTTACCAATCTTGATGGTAACCCATTTTTGAATTATCTCTTTCAAGCATTGGCTGAGTTACCAGCTTATGTGATTGCTAAATACCTTAGTGATCGATATGGGAGGAGATGCAATACTTTCATCAGTTTTACATTATCGTCTTTATCTTGTTTTGCAATCATATTTTTAATCAATGGTAAGGATATCACAAACCATAAAACCCAAATTAAAAATTTTACTAATGATTTCTTTTTTATGATTCCAGATACTTCAATGGCCCCCGTGATAAATTACATTTGTATCTTCATGAAGTTCAGTGTAACTTTAGCTTATTTTTCAATTAATCTTCAAGCTCTGGAGATTTATCCAACTTGTATCCGGCAAATTGGTTGTGCAGTTGGAGGTCTCTTCGGAAGTGCTACCAATATTATTGTTCCTTATATTATAGCTCTTGTAAGTAATTATTTTTTACAAAATTATCTTATTTTAAATATTATTATTACTATTTACAGGGTGTTTCCGTAAATGCAACACTCCCATTTGTGATATATTTATTATGTTCGATTTTGGGAGCTATTTGTTGTATTTTCCTACCGGAAACGCATGGCCATGACCTGCCAGAAACCCTAGCAGATGCAAAATGTTTCGGAGCTGATCAAGATTTTTGGGGGCGGCCAAAAACACGTCGGAATATACCCGACGGTGCGGATAGACCTCTTACTGAACAAACATAACTTTTAAGCATTTAAATAATGTATATATAATTTGTTAAATTATTTTCATACGCTTTCACTATGTTTAAATAGTTGAAATTAGAAATAACTAATAAAAATATTTCGGAACATTTCGATAAATTCGTGTGTTGTCCTCGAAAATACCTCAAACTGTGTAGTTGATAACAACATATAAAAATGTTTACATCTCGCAAGTAACCCTAGAATGGATCTGAGTTACCATTGAGAGAATTGACTTAATTATTAATGGATGGAGAGAATAATTATGTTTTCCTTGTTGCTGTTTATTGGGTCGTGTTTAATCAAGTGAATCGTCTCTTTATATCATTAATTACCATTCATATATAGGAAGTAATGTTTTGCAGCGTCGGTATTATTTATAAAAAGTCTCATTATGGTAATCCTTTTGCAAATAAATATATAATTGTAATTATTCATAATTTAACCTTATTTTTTTCTGAATGACTCTGTACTTGCAAAAGTTTTTATTACCCATTTACTTTTACTTTTTTTTTATTAATAAAAAATGACACATGTAATTACCAAGTTTGAAATTTACGAAAAACACATTTAATGAGTACATAACTCAATAATAAGTGTATATTTTTATGAATGCCCTATTATTTCAAAATAATTCCAACCATTCGGTTTTCTAAATATAAGCAATGCGATACAATGTAGAACACTTTTGTATTGCGTCTTACGCACGAGATAATTTTGAAATAAAGAAAGATATGCAAATTTATGCTTTTCGCAAAACTCGAAAACAATTCGTAGTTTAGATACTGAGCAAGCGAAAAAAATTAAGTAATCGAAATATTTAAATATTTAATTTTGAGCAGTTAGTCTCAATATTTCAGTGGTTGCTACAACTTCAACATGGAAAATGACGCGGAAACATCCGCCATTGATACCATCATGGAAAAAATTGGTAATGCAGGAAGATATCAATCTTCATTCAACTTTAAATTCAATTTAATACTACCCATTCTGGCTGCAATGCCCTATGTGAACCTCATAATCAGTCTAGCTACACCTGACCACTGGTGTCATGTCCCAGGTCGTGAAAACACCAACTATACTCTCGAAGAATGGAAAAATTTAACTCTACCAAGGTAAACATTTTTTTTTAAACCAAAAATCAAATTTTCAAACAAAAAAATTCCAGGGAACTAGATTCAAGAGGTATATTAACCTATTCAAAATGCAAACGCTTCCTAACCATGGACAACCCAGAAAACCTTACAACATGTGACCATGGTTGGGACTACGACCAAACCTGGTACGAAAAAACCGCCCCAATGCAAAACAACTGGGTGTGTGACGATGAGATGATCCCAGCTGATACCATAGCCGTGGGTTTCGCTGGTGAAGTCATAGGAACCTTCATCACTGGCTACGTAGCTGATAACTACGGTAGAAAACCTATGTTCTTCATATGCTTAACAACAGTAATCCTAGGTCGTGTTATGTCTACATTCACATCCCAATGGGTCCTGGCTTTCCTCCTTTTCAGTTTAGTAGCCTCCTTATCCAGTACCATTTTGATCCAAGGTCCTTTGGTAATAGCAATGGAGATATCACGTCCTGAAGACCGTGCCCTAATCGGAATGGTGGTCTGCTTCTCTTGGAACATGGGCCTATCCATCATCCCTTTCCTCATGTGGTGGTTACGTGATTGGGTACCATTTTTACTAGCTTCTACCTTACCATGTGGTATTTATTTCTTTTCACAAAAATGGATAATTGAATCCCCTCGATGGTTAGCATCGAAAGGGAAGATAACCCGGTGTATAAAAGAGTTGCGAAATGTAGCAAAAGCCAACAGGACGGAATTACCCTCTGATATTGAAGAAGTATTGATCAAATACTGTCAGGAAAATAGTCAGGAGAAGCATCAAAGTATTTTTGCACTGTTTTCAAGTCCAAGACTTACAAAAAACACAATTTTGCTGCTGTTATCATGGTGTATAGTGCTACAAATCTATATCTTTTTGATCATCAATGTTTCCAACCTTGATGGTAACCCATTCTTAAATTACCTCTTTCAAGCACTAGCCGAATTACCTGGATATGCATTAGCTAAAGTAATCAGTGATCGATATGGGAGGCGATATGCAAGTTTTTTGGGATTTTTCATGACTTTCCTATCTTCTATTCCGGTTATTTTTTTGATCAACGGTAAAATACCTTCAAATTTTTGAATATTTTTAAAGTTGTAATTTTGTATTGTATTTGTAGATCCATCCATGACATTGGCGGTATATGCACTGTGTGTATTTATGAAGTTCAGTCTTGCACTGTCATATTTCACCGTAAATCTTCAAGCGCTAGAGATTTATCCGACTTGTATCCGGCAAACCGGAAGTGCCATCGGGATTATCTTCGCTAGCAGTTTAGGAACACTTGTACCATATATTATTAACCTGGTAATTATTTTTTTCACATTTTTAAAGAATTTAAACTTAAACATTAATTTATTTTGTTATACAGGGTGTGTCCGTAAATGCAACTCTCCCCTATTTAATCTACATGTTCTGCGCGTTATTAGGAGCTGTCTTTTGTATTTTCCTACCGGAAACACTTAGTCATCAACTTCCGGAAACCCTTTCCGATGCGAGAATCTTCGGAAAAGATCAAAATATTTTCGGAAAACAAAAACAACGCAATAATAATAATAACATCAACGATGGATCTGATAAACCATTAAAATCATAGATAATTTTTATAAATAAATAATTAGATTACCAAACAAAGGTAGACTTATTGACGCCATGTTAATTATGACTCATAGATTTGTATCTATTGTTATTGTTTTATCATTAGCGATACAATGCACAACGAAAAATGCATTATCATTTCAGATACACCTTATCACTTATCACCTGAAGGATAGAATGATAAAATCTACAAAACCAAATCAATTTTTGACACTCCGGATCAGTGGCAGTGTGTTTCATTTGAGAGATCATCATAAATAAAATATTTTAAAATGCCTTTGAGTAATATACTGGCTGTTCCCTTTGAGGTAACAGAAGAAGATCATGAAAGGGTGCGCATTAGAAGATTACAAAATTATGGAGACCCTGAAGATCCGGAAGATATCATTCCTGATAGGAATGATACATTGTTATCCAAACAAACAATGCTGAGGATTAAATGTTGTCAACTTGTAAGTTTTTCTTTTTTTGCTTTAAAAACTTTTTGTAATATTCTAAATTTTAGATTGCGACCATAGCAACAATAGTCTTTTTCATCTACGCAAAATCCCAATCTCGATGCATCAACGTAGACCTCCTAATATCCGCTTTCTTCGGAGCATTATTAATGTATCCGATAATGATACTCTGTATACCCAATCATAATCAGTTATCGATTGTAATGATGCTGCTGAACCTGATAAGTTCCCTAATGCTCTTCACGAATGGATACTTCATCTTCACATCGTGGTACGCTCTAAAGAATTACCTGATAGCAGACGCCATTTTGCCGGGGGATCCTATGTCAGGAGTAGCGACATTTCAATTTCTCGCCGCCACGTTTTCGTTTATCATTGGGACCGTTTATGGCAGCGAGGTGTTCATTCAACTCATCGATAATATTCGACAAATATTTTAAACTTGACTGGTTAATTGTCATTTATTTATTCTAGTCATTATCGCGGTAGCTTTATCACTAACTGGAATACTTTTTTTTTGTTTCTTTATTCATTAAGTAAATTGATTGTAGAATAATAAATTTTATATTAAAAATATAAAACTTTGTATATTTACAAAGAAGTTTGTATAATAGAATAAAAATGTACCTTGTTTTATCTTTTGATAGCGCGCGGATGACTTAAGTCACATGGTCATGGATTTTGCACTTACTACCACCAACAAACAACTCACAGACGCGACTTAACCAGTTTATTCGAAGTTTCAGCTCGAATTTAAGGCAAATAGTGCATCGCAGCGACATCTATGATTGAATTTTAGCATTATATTTAAAAATGCTATCTATTTACTACAAAAGTTGTAAAAAATGTAAAAATATGACCATTCACGTCTTCTTAAGACATATTTTCACCCAAATTAAGATTCCATACACAAAAAACAAACATATTATGACCAATTCATTCATTTTACTAACTTACTAGTAATAGAAATGAATAATAAACCATAAAACACCGAAAATCTACGAAATTTCTTAAAATTTCAACTTTTTTCAATAAAAAATATCTAAAACCACTCAAAACTAACAAACCTGACGTGGTACAACTCGTTCTCCATCCCGATTGGCGTGGTGAACATAGATATTCGCGATATTTTCCTTATCATAACCTCCGACAGGACTCCCCGGTCCCGTCAGTCGCAGTCAGTCGCCAGTACGTTTACGTGTAAGTTCTCATCACTCCTTAGTCAGTACACCGGGCGAAACCAAACCTCATTACCTCCGCAAATCCTCAAGTTCACAATGAAAAGACCTCGACCAACGAACGAATTGATTCTGCACGTTATAGTTGCAGTTCTTATATTGAACATAGCCAAAACAGAAGTGCCACGGCCGCGCGGTGTGTCCTTATCGCGTGCCGGACTGTACGACCCCGCGAAGGACTTCACATGCTTCGATAACACACTAACGATACCATTCGCGCAAGTAAATGATGAATACTGTGATTGTGCCGATGGCAGTGATGAGCCAGGCACATCAGCATGTCCGAATAGTATGTTTCATTGCACGAATGCCGGGCACCAAGCGTTGAACATCTTCTCGTCGAGAGTTAATGATGGGATTTGTGATTGCTGCGATGGTACCGATGAGTATGTGAGTAAAAAGTGTCCGAATACTTGTAAGGAACGCGGACAACATGCCAGGGAAGCAGCTAGACTCCGAGCTGAGTTGGTCAAAGCTGGTAAACAGCTGAGGAATGAGCTGAGTGCTGAGGGGATCAAGATGAAACAACAGAAGAAAGATAAACTTGTTGAGCTGCAGAAGTCTAAGATTGAAGCTGAGAGAGTGATGAAAGAGAAAGAAGAGTTGAAAAAACAAGCTGAAGATTTAGAAAGTGTTGCACTGGAAGAATATAGAAAGATTGAGGATGAAATCAAAGCTAAGAAAGCCATAGAAGAAGCAGAGATGATCAGGAAAGAAGCCACTGAGACTTTCGAGAAGTTCGATAGCAATGCAGATGGATTATTGAGTATTCCAGAACTGCAAACAAGGCAGCCATTCGATAAAGATCACAATGGTGAAGGTAATATAGGTTTACTAATGATTTGTATGCTGAATTATTAATAATAATGGATTTTGATGCTTGCAGTGAGTGAGGAAGAAGCCAGGTCATTTTTAGACAACAGGGAATCAATAAATCTTGAGGATTTCATTGTTTATGCATGGCCACTGATGAAACCAATCATGATGCGTGAACAGGGCGTTTTTAAGCCACCAGTTGGTGTTGGTGAAGTTGAAGAAGTACCTTTGAATGATGCAAGAGAAGTTAATGAAGAACCGGATGAAGGTATTGTTCATAACCAGTTTTTAAAAAATATTTGAGGTTATGTTAGAATATTCAAAACTTATTTTACACATTACATGCGAATCACGAGAGATTACGCATTAAATTATATATAAAATTGAAGATAAAACATATATCTATAGATTTTTACTACTTACAAGTTTAACAATGAAGTTTTTTGTTGTTAAAACTTAATTTTAAACTAAGAAACACAGGTTAATACAATTAATGTAGTGTTATACAGATAGGCAACCGAATATACACGAATTTATAAACTAACGGTTTTACAGAACCTGAACCACCACAATATGACGATGAGGAAGACGATGAAGAAGATGAGGAACCAGCCGAGGAACACCACGAAGAAGATGAAACAGATACAAATACTAAAGTGGAATATGATGAAGAAACCCAGAAACTTGTCAGTGAAGCCACACAAGCACGCAGTGAATTCACCGACGCCGAAGCTTCCGTTCGCAACATCCAATCAGAAATCACACGTATCGAAGAATACCTCCGTAAGGATTTCGGTGCTGATGAAGCATTCGCTGCTTTGGAAGGCCACTGCTTCGAATACACCGACCACGAGTACATCTACAAGCTGTGTCCCTTCGACAAAGCCGTCCAACAGGCGAAATCCAGCGCAATGGACACACGTCTCGGCACCTGGTCAAAATGGACCGGTCCCGAAGGAAACCCCTATGAAAGCATGCTCTACGACCATGGGCAGGCCTGTTGGAACGGCCCATCACGCTCCACACGCGTACAGGTCTCCTGCAGCAGCGAAAACAAACTTATTTCAGTCGCCGAGCCGAATCGATGCGAGTATCTGTTTGAATTCAGCACACCCGCTGCTTGCTACGAAGTCGAACAGCATCCGGACGATGTCCATGATGAACTCTAAAGTTGTGCACCATATCATGTTGGGCGACATTGTGATTTTACTCTAACATCATTCTCTACGCGAGTAATAAGCATAGTTTTTCAAACGGTTTTTGATGTTTGTACCAGTCTTACGTTTTTGTATGTGTTGAGAAAATGAACGAAATAGTAAACGCATTCCTATTTTATACTGTGTGTACGTAAATAGCAAGAATAAAGAGCCCCAAGAACCGATTTTATGCAGTTTTTAAGCAAAATTAGCAAATAAACATCCAGGAGAAAGTTTAAACACAGATTATCTAAGAGATGTTGATAAACAATTAGATTATCTCTAATCAGTTATGTAATTCTAGTAATTTAAGTAAAAAATGGTACTTCCTGGAGTTTTTAGCACTTCCTGTGCATGAATTCAACATTTCTAACGCGCTTCGTTGCACTGTGCATTTCAAAGTCACGCAAATATTCATTCTGCACGTGAATTACCCAACAGAAACGAATTATATGGACTAATACAATGCAAAAACAGTAAAACATTACATAAACTGTGTTCACGTGCCAAAACGAAAGACGCCTAAATAAATCATGACTATTACGACGACCACAATGTAAGTACGTGTAAGTACGTGAATAAACAATTGTAATATCAATGGCACCACATAGACTCCAAGAAGAGTGAAAGCGTTTATCAAAAAATCCAACGCAACATACCAATTTTAGTGGTGGCAGCAAAAACCGAATGAAAACCTCGAAGACGTAACTTGAAATCAGTTGTGAACGTGCCTCCAAAGCGTTTGCTTTGATTCGAATTCGTGAAGTGTGATAGCGCATGCTGGAAGCGGTTCTCAAGAAGACAACCGGAGTGGAAACCGGGTCACTAGGGTGCTCCGAACTCCGCAAGGCATCTCGATGCACGAACCTGTCGTGTGTGTGCTGTGTGTGTTTATTAAACACACGGATTATGTGCGGATTATTGTTTGACTAACATGACTGCTTGGTATCGGAAACTTGTGATTGTATTTCTTACAATTGTCACCTCATCAGCATCCAGAAGTAAGTATTTTACTCATAAACACGAAAAAAAATGGTAAAACATGAAATTTTAATGGTTTTAGTTGATGATTTGGTCCGAAGATGGTCCCCATTGATATGGTTAGCCCCAGGGGAAAGATTCATGCCGGATAGCATAGAGGATTTCCTCCCACATACTCAACCAGGTGATTTTTATGGAAAAATGATGCCGGAACAGAATATTATCGGCGGAGACAACTCTACTAAGTTGTATTTACACACAGTGAATGATATAGGTATACCTTTAAGTCTTAGAAATTCTGTAATTACTAAAAGATAAGTTTTAGATGAATTATTATCAAATGCATCGAATTCTTTCCTCTATGGGAAAGATCCATCTAAAGTTCCTGTCCCAGTTTATGCTCTGGTGACGAAATGTCACGAAAAAACCTTCCATGTGACTTATTGGTTGTTCTTTCCGTATAGCCTTGGAAAGGAATTCTGTGTCCTAGGGAATATTCCCCTCCCACATGTGTTTTCCACGTGTTTGGGGACGAAAATGTTACTGGGGAGTCACGTGGGTGATTATGAACACTTGTCAATGTCATTTGATGGTAACTCTTCATACCCAGCACAAATCTACTTGGGTACCCATGAAAGTGGAGTGTATTACACTCTCAATCGTAAAACAAGGACGTTTGTATACTCAGAACAGATTAAGAGGAAGTTCCTTGCTCCTAAACCTCTATTCCCGAATGAAATAAGAATCAAGAAGAAGAGGATTGAAGTGTTTGCATCGTTGGGTTCACATGGTCTATGGGCAGAGCCTGGGAATCATAGTTATCATAGGTTTTTAGGTATAGAAGATATTAGTGGTTATGGTACCCCATGGAGCACCTGGCAGGACTTGAGGATATATCATGTTGATAGGGATGTTGATAAGTTTAAGAGGGAGGCTAGTGTGGAGAGAGGGTTGCCGAAATGGATGTTCTATGAAGGAAAGTGGGGTAATCCGAGGTCGAATTGTTTGATTTGGAGGTACTTCTGTGGGATTACGGATGGACCACCGGGGATGTTGAGGTCTGTGAAGGATTTTTATTGTGATAAAATGTAAATATGTGATTTGGATTATGTTATAATATATTTAGTTGAATGTGGAAAAGTATTTTGACCCAAATTTACGTCCCAAAGATCCAAAAAACTTTTTATACCTGAGGACTACCTGTAAAAAGTAGTGGGGGTAACAAAAACACTCACTGTTGTTACTAAATGTTAAGTAGCTGGTAATCTGCAAGTGATTAGTTACCCCACCACTTTTTGCGGGTATACCAAAGGTTTAAAACGTCCTAAGTCGTCCAGGAGTCAAATAGCAGGATAAAAACCTTTTTGGGAATCACAAAGCTCTATTTTTATACTTCCACGTATGCCATGACATTACTTTTACTATAGCCGACCTTTAACTACGATGTAATTACTCCTACATCAATTATTCCAACCTCACCTTCACTTCATCGGATGTATCTTGTACAATTATTAAATTACAACAGAATTTATTGTGAATGATCGATTAATATGTTAAATACGTGCTCATCACGTAGTTACCTATTAGTAACGCAACATAACCTCAAATTGAACATGCGCAGACAAGGTTAGCGTCATTAGATTATTAATAAAAGATTTATTAATAAAAAATTAAAAATACGCACTGTACAGTTTTGAAATGAATAAAAATGAATAAAACGAACGGTAAAAGTCAATCATCCATTCCGAATTTGATTCTGGTTGGCCCTGACACTCTTTTCACTGCTTCACTGCACTTTAGTGACTTTTTCTTAGTTATTCACAACGCAAACAATGAAATTTTGAGAAATTAGGTAATATTTAACGCCAAATATTGAATATCAAACTTTTGTCCATGAATTTCATGGTTACAACAATTTTAAACTAATTTTAAACTAATTTTAACAACAATAGAGTCATTTTTATTATTTATTACCGGTGACAACAAAATATAATTTACTGTTATTAGTATACCAACAAAAACAAGAAAAAACGGTGTCAATTAATCCACTTTTTCGGTTTTAATTTTTGTTTTCTTGCCGTAAATTAACTTTAATTAACCAAAAAACTAGTTCTTTCATAATTTCGGTATTTAAATTAGTCATGTAGTTTAATTAAGCACACAATGCGTGCGCACGTGGTTCATGGTACGTCGTACAGCTCGAAAGTAATGGAAATGGAAACATGCACAACAGCCTTGTCCGACCTTGTAACAGTTCAACCCCAAACCACAAATACACCGAACACAAGTTTCAGTCTGATTTCATTTTCATTAAGTTGCGGGTCTTCCGATGCTCCACACACATGGTGTGGACGCTAACCATGGTGGTCAACATCGTGTTTATTTGTGCTGTGATTATAAATTTTGCGAATTGTGATGATACACCTCCGCCAATATGGCAGACATTATCACTGTTCAACCCGGTTGAGAATTTCATCAGTGCGAACACACCAGCTGAAGAATCCAGTGATTTCGAAGAGTTTTATGATTTTATCATCATAGGAGCCGGAAGTGGTGGATCGGTCCTTGCGAATCGCCTTACAGAGAATACCAATTGGACTGTGTTGCTGCTGGAAGCAGGTACCAATGAAAACTTCATCTCGGATATACCTTTAATGGCGGCTTTCCAAGCCTCGACCCAATATAACTGGGGATATAAAAACGAACCTCAACCCGGGGCTTGTTTAGGGTCTAAGGACCAAAGGTGTAATGCTATCAGAGGTAAAGCATTAGGAGGTACCTCAGTTGTAAACTTTTTGATTTATACACGTGGTAACCCAGGAGATTACGATAGTTGGGCCAACTTAGGCAACCCTGGATGGTCTTATAATGAAATACTTCCTTATTTTATCAAATCAGAAGACTGTTCGGGTTGTAAGAACATAGATACAGATTATCATGGGTTTCAAGGTACCCTCAAGATTGAAAACCCTAGATTAAAGTCTCCTTTACTCAAAAAATTCCTCAGAGCCGGGCAGGAGTTGGGTTATGATATTACAGACCCCAATGGTCATCAACACATAGGGTTCTCCGAAGCGCAAGCCACCATGAACCGAGGGAGAAGGTGTAGTGCCGCCAAAGCCTTTCTAGGACCAGAAATTCGTCAAAGACCCAATCTACAGATATCAACAAGGACCAGGGTGGTTAAAATCCTTTTCGATGACCAAAAACGTACCACAGGAGTAGAAATAATCAAAAACCGACAGAAATTCATCATAAAAACCAGAAGAGAGGTTATATTATCAGCAGGTGCGTTTAACTCCCCACAATTACTAATGCTATCAGGGATAGGCCCTCGACCACACCTGAAAACCCTCGGAATACCACCTATTCAAGACCTCAAAGTAGGATATAACCTTCAGGACCACATCTCTTTCTCCCACTTGTTATTCTTGGTCAATGAAAGTATAACCGTCAGTGATACACTTGTACAGAACCCTCGCCACGTCCTGAATTACCTCCTCAATGGAGATGGACCTTATTCCATACCAGGTGGTGCCCTGGGTATAGGCTTCCTCCAAAGTGGATTCAACCACTTTGGGAGGGATTATCCTGATCTAGAATTGGTCCTGGGAGCAGGGGGATTAAACGGGGATACCATGGGTACCCTCAGGAGGTTATTAAGACTCCCTGAAGAAACCTATAGAAAAGTCTATTCTCCCGTGGTGAATATACCAGGATTTTCAATAGCTACGGTTATGTTGAGACCCAAAAGCATAGGTAGGGTTATGTTGAAGGACAAGAACCCTTTACACTGGCCCGCAATCCACGGCAACTATTTCTACGAAAGTGAAGATCTTGATGTTCTCATAGAAGGAATAAAGAAGGTATGGATGACTATGCATAATATTCTTTGACTTTGACCTTGAAATCATATTTAGAGTCTCCTTCATCGAGTAAAGCATGTTTTGGTAGTGTTACAACATTGAATATTACTAAATTCGTAAAGTGGGTAAATTACACGATTAGAACGCGAAAGGTAACGCGTATCGCGCGCGCGTGTTGCAAGTTAAACTTGACTTGTTCTCGTTTTTTGTTATTACGCATATGCGAATGCTGACCAGTTCAAGAATTTTCTTGCGTCTTGCCTCTTGAGTGCTTAATCCAATCTGTACGCTTGTGTAATAACCCGAAATATTTATGTTCTCAGCATGCTTCGATTGGGAAATGATTACAACACGCTTGATTCGCTTGTGCACTCAGCGAAATATTAAATTTTATTGCATGCGGGACTCACCTGGTATTAATTAATCGGATTTCGAATATTTTTGCATAATTTCCATTCAATTAACTTGCTTTCACATATTAACACAATTATTTCTCATTTGTAAACTGTAACACTTTGTTTTATTAAGTAATTTGTTAATAAATATCCGTTTCACGTGTGTACACTGCACCAAACTGTCGCGAATGATATTTTTTTGCGTTTTGACATTCTGACCATATCAAGAGAGAGATTGTTTATCTCTATCGCAATATGCATCGTAAACATTCGACATAAACCCGTGTTTATATTTATTATTTATACATTTCGTAATTTTAATTAAATCTATTTTCCAGGCAATAAAATTGGTGAATTCCGAAGCGTTCAAAGATGTCGGCGCGAGGTTACACGATATACCGCTACCCGCCTGTCAGCACCTAGCGTTCGCTAGTGACAACTACTGGCGCTGCGCGCTACGCCACCTAGCGACTAGCCTCGGACATCCAGTAGGAACCTGTAAAATGGGCCCGGATACAGATCCCGATGCTGTGGTGGATTTTAGATTACGTGTCAAAGGAGTGACAGGATTACGCGTTGTAGACGCGTCAATTATGCCGCATATCGTCGCAGGACACACAAATAGTGTTGTAATGATGATTGGTGAAAAAGCAGCTGATTTAATCAAAGAAGATTGGACTTACTACTGATAAATATGTGATAGTAAATGTATATTATTATTTTAATGATTAAAATTAGGTTATGTATGTTTGGTTGCATACAATGAGAAAATAAAGTCTTTATCGTGATTACTTTTAACTGGATGAAACTTAATCGTATGTTAATGAAAGGTTTCCGATGTTTTTTTCAGTGTTTGATGTCTGTGGATTATTGTCATTAACTCTTTGTACGTTTTTCACCCTTTTCCGTACATATAAACACCTGAAAGTCAATGACATGCCGAGTAAACCAAAGAAATCGATTGTCTGTTTATATTTATTGAGTGCTTCGCCCTTTTCACAGCGTTTTTCTAGTGTTTCTCAACCTCAACACTTTATTTAGTCTTCATCAGACCCGCGGTGAACTTCAGCATGATCACTGCGTGAATATTTAATCAAAAAACGTTTAAAATTTTACTTCAACAAGTAAACAATAAGAAATGATAACAAAAGCCGCCTTATCGACCAAACATTCGGGTCACAAGTGTGAAACTGTGTAAAACTTCAATATTAACTTCGAAACATTCAAGAAACGCGCTGATAATTGCCATTTAGGTGTAAAAATGCGTTTTTTACTGCATTTTCTCATTCTGAGTGGTTTTTTCATCAACTTGGGTTTGATAAACGCGCAATCTGATTGGAATCGTGAATACGAGCTAGATCAACGTGATTTATACAGATTAGGTAATGTAAATTGCATAATTTGATTTAAGATAATAAAATTTTTATTGTTTTCTTATCGGCAGGTGAATTTAATGATCGTTGTCGGAGTAAAATGGAATGTCGACAGTTTGGCTACGTGTGTCGTGATAATCGCACTTGTCAATGCGATTTCATGTACATCCCGGACTCGAAAAAGCGCTCATGTGTCGGAGGTATTCGTATCAATATTGATTTAAACAATTATCACATGTGTGACTTGTTTGTTTTTGTCAAGGAGTGAATCAGCGCTGCGTTTATGATGAGCACTGCATCGAAGGCGCATTTTGCATGAATCAAGCCGTGTGCAAATGTAAAAACTCCAGTCCGATTGAACTAGAGGATGGTTTAGTGTGTGCAACAGCTAATAAAATGAAATTTACGTTTGTGTTTATGTTTTGTACATTGCTGGCTCAATTATTGTAAAAATTTTAAAAGTTGTAGGTTTTTGGAAGTGTAGGCAACACATTACACAGTTATGCAGTTAGTGTAGACTAAAGTAACCTTAAATGCTTCAGATTAACGCGTGTTAAACATAATTCTATCAATAAATCTATAAACGAGATAAATACGTTACTTTCATCGCAATTACTATGACTTATTTTGTAATCTGCGCCTAGTTTATACGTGTGATGACTTGCAACTGAAATATTTAGCAAAAAACTTGAAATTTTAAGGTTAAACAAGTAAAACTTACTTTTTCGCTGTAAACTTTCCTCTCTGATCGTATTTTAATGAATCAGGCACTGTGTAAATGTCAAAACTCCATGTTTAATGTATGTAGCAGTAAATAAATTATAATTTACGTTTATATTTATGTCTTGTACATTTCTGGCTCAATTATTGTAAAAAATTTCAAGATTTAGGTTTTTGAGACTGTAGGCATCACATTACACAGTTATGCAGTTAGTGTAGACTAAAGTAACCTCAAATGCTTCAGATTAACGCGTGTTAAACATAATTCTATTAATAAAGCTATAAACGTGATAAATACGTTATTTCTCTCGCCTTAACTTTTACTTATTTTGTTATCTGTGCCTAATTTATACGTCTGATGACTTGCAACTGAAATATTTAGCAAAAAACTTGAAATTTTAAGGTTAAACAAGTGAAACTTACTTTTTCGCTCTAAACTTCTCTCTTTCCTCGTATTTTATTGAATCAGGCACTGTGTAAATGTCAAAACTCCATGTTTAATGTATGTAGCAGTAAATAAATTATAATTTACGTTTATATTTATATCTTGTACATTGCTGGCTCAATTACGCTAAACTTGTGCGTTTTTCTAACTGTAGGCAACACACTACACAGTTATGCAGTTAGTGTAGACTAAAGTAACCTCAAATGTTTCTGAATTACGCGTGTTAAACATAATTCTATCAATAAATACAAAAACAATGTAAAACGCTGTTTCTATTGCAAAAACTATGACTTGTTTTGCTTTTACGTCTAAACACAACTTACGACTGAAATATTTTTGATTAATCTTGAAATTTTAAGGTTAAACAAGTAAAACTTACTTTTTCGCTCTAAACTTTGCTCTCTGACTGTATTTTGATGAATCAAGCACTGTATAAATGTCAAAACTCCATGTTTATTGCATGTAGCAATTAATAAATTATAATTTACGATTATATTTATATCTTGTACATTGCTGGCTCAATTACTCTAAACTTGTGCGTTTCTCTAACTGTAGGCAACCCACCATACAGTCATGCTTTTACTGTAGACTATAATAACCTTAAAACTTACATTTTACACTTGTAAAAACTTAATTATATCAATAAAAATATAAACGTGCTGAATAACAACGCAATAACTTGCATCTCTTGATAATTTCGCAATCGACTCGTAGCAGAAATATCCCCGCATGACAACGAATTCAATCCCGATTTGCATAAACAAATCGAGTTTATACAGTCGACGCGTCCCTCCAGGTCCGGACTCGTAATACATTCACCTTTGTGTCGACAAAGCGAACCGATTTTACTCGGACTATAACAGTTATTTCCATATTGATGATACTGTGTTTTGCATTGACAACGTCCACGCACGCATTCCGAATGCTGGAAATACTCCTGACATTGTGATTCCTGCGTGCAGGCATCGAATAATTTATCAGCGGCTTTCAAACAGTAACGTTCGTCCGTTTCAAGGACATAACCAACTCTACAGGTGCAAGTAACTCTACAAACTGCATTCATTGACAGGCAGGCATCATCATTGTTACATTCTTCGCCTAATCTACGCACAACAACACATTTCCCAGCTGAATTCGGTGCTTGTTTTAATCCGCATGTACAACGTCCATTTGTGCAGAAAACTTTATCACTCGGATGATTTGGGATACAATTATCATCTGATAAACATGTTTCATTAAGTCCTGGAAAGATATAACCTCAATAAACTGTCAAAAACATAACCAAAGTTGATATTTACTTACTTGAAGTAGAAAAACATGAATTTTTACTTTTGACGAAATGCGCGTGTGGCATACAATTGCATTTCTTTCTTTCATCACATTCGGCGTGTTTCCCGAGTGCTAATTCACATTGTTCATCGTAGGTACATTCAGAATCAACACTAGCAGCAGCTGTCAAAAAATAAATCAAAATAAAACGTTTTGAAGGTTAAAAAATTAAAAGGTTAAATTTTAAGGTTAAAACATACGTGTGACACAATCAAATGACTGTCGACTACGAATAATAATAAATCCTTCTTCACATTTACACAAGCCGTTTGTTGTTGCACTGTTGCCATCACAATAACTATGACTTATCTTGCAATCTGCGTCTAGTTTACACGTCTGGTAACTTACAACTGAAATATTAGGTTAAATTAGGTTAGAAATTAAAAGTTTTAAGGTTATGTATGAAAAACTTACTTTTTCTGGCTAAACTTTGATCTTGTTGTGCATAAACACATATTGTTTGAGTAATTATTAACAATATGAACAACATTTTAAGATATTTTGAGTTTTTTTCGATGAATATCTCATATTCCATTGTATTTCTCACAAAAGTGTCTCTAGTTAACACATCGTTACATAAAAATATACAAAATTTATGTTTTTACTTAGTTTTTATAATTTTTTACAGTTAGAAACGTAAATTTTTGTTTTAGAAGTAAAATTTCGTCGATAGTTTGCGTATGCAGTCACACGCACTTGTTCGGTGATTGCTTAAACCTCCAAACACGTAACTGGTGAAAACGTAGAGATAAGAAATGATAACGATAGGTGGGTAATGACTAATGTGTGTGTATTATCACATCACACATCCTAAATTACGTTCATGAACGAGTGAAACACAAATTCTTAGAAAATGACAGATTGGGTATATTTATTGATATAAATCGAGCAAGATGAGATTAAAATCGTTACTAATTGAACATTTGGAGCATTAATAAAGATGAAAACCATGGAAACAGGTAAAAACCGTGATTATATGTTGAAATTCCTAAAAATTTATAAATTATTAATAAAAAAATAAATTATTCAATAAATATTGATTAATATTTAACGTACCATCATTAAATCCATTTGGAATCAATGGTGCGATGCATTTATTCTTCAAAACGCTGAAAATATGCTTTGCTTGGCAGTGACATGTGCGATTGATGCAAATGGCGTCCGGCCCCAGCGTGTGTTGACATTGAATGTCACTATCACATTTTGACAGATACGTCACGCTGATTTCGTAGCATTCCTTTTGATATGCGGAATATCCATCGATGCAATCACAGGTTTTGTTTGTGTTGCATTTTGTGTGTTCCACTTCACAATCAGTGTCTTTTTGACAGACATAACCTATACCTATGACAAAAAATTAATTAAAATAAAATATCTATCTTCTATATAGATAAAAATGAATTGCTGTTCGTTAGTCTCGCTAAAACTCGAGAACGGCTGAACGGATTTATCTTATCTTGGTCTTGAATTATTCGTGGAGGTCTAGGGAAGGTTTAAAAGGTGAGAAAAATTCGAATAATTGCCGGGAAAATCCTCAAAACAGCTCTTTTCTATAGAATAAAATTTGACATTGAGATTCAATCATAGTTATAGTTAAATAGTTGAATTCGAGATGGCGCGCTGAAGTGCATTATTGACAAAACTTTATATAATTAATTTCTTTAAATTAAAATTGCTAATCTTATTGATAGAATTGACTCTTACTACGAGTATGTCTAGAACAAGAGAGTAAAAACGAATTACATTTTTATTAAACACTGCCGGAACGAAGTCGCGGGCAACAGCTAGTTTATTGATAGGATGAATGAAAATAGTTACCATTTAATTCTTTGCATTGTGTTTTGTCTTCTTGTTCCAAATCTATGCCGAAACCAGCAAAACAATCGCATCTGCCTGCTCTACACGCGGTTTGAGGAAAGTTGCATTGGATGTCTTCCACGCATGCATCGCCAATCTCTTTAGCTTCTATAAAATAATTAAAAACTTGATTAAATTAAAGAAATTTTACAAAAAACTATAAAATTTTATTACCTATTAAACATTTCCTCTTATTGTAGGATGAAACAGTGTGATTCGCACATGTGCACAGGTTTTCTTCACAAACAGCGCCATCAATGTTGCATTCTTCGTTAAAATAGCACCGCCCGTCTAAAATGGTCACCACACGCATTTCCGGTGCGTTTATACGCGAATCTTTCATGATAAACTCGCAATAATTATCGACGCACGCCGAGGACACATCGTTCTCACTGTTTCTTAAGTGGTTCATATTACATTCGCGTTCGGAAACGCATGGAATATCGGTTTTTGTGCGTTTTTCACCCGTTGCACAAGCAAATGCAAAGATTAACATTAAAATTATACGAATAAATTGCGCAGACATTTTAAATAATTTACAGAGTACAGACTACAGACTAAATTAAACAGAACAAATGGTGCACTTGGTGCATAAAACGTGACTGAAGATCACAACGTGTTTTTGATAAGAAGAAAGATTTGTGATTTTATTTTGCAGCAGATTTGTGATAATAACCGGATAGGTAGTGACATCTTGCGGAGTAAAGATGAAGTTGGAGTAGTGTAGTGTAGATGGCAATACAATGCACTTTTGAGAGTTAATATTGCATTGTTATTTACAAGTTATTTCTGTTGCTGTTGAGTGTTCAAGGATGTTTCATGGTGTTTGCTGCTTCTTTACACGAATAATTCGCCATTTCGTTGATGTAAACATTGGTGATATGATATTTACGTTGGTTATTCACAAAAGTTTCTTTTTTGCTGTTTAAACATGAAAAACATGCAAAATTGAACTAAAAACTAAGAAAAAACATGTTTTCAGTTAATTCTAAAGATAATTTATGATTTTAAACCTTCAATTTACTTACTTTTTAAACAAAACCGTGGTTTTAACTCCAAAACATACTTTTTACCTTTTACATCATATAAACATGATAAACAGTCAAAAACGCCATAAAACAAACAAAATTATAATTATTAGCTCAAAAATACCTACTTTTTAATAAAATATTAATTCTAACGTTGGTTAACCTCAAAAATTTGCTTTTTAGTCAATATCAAATCATTTTAAGTTCTGTAGTGCCATCTGGCGGCCTAAAACAAAAACAAAAAATAATATAGTATAGATGGCACTACAATGCACTTTCCCCAGTTAATATTCCTCACTCCTAGTGTCATCCACTCATCCGGTCGAGTGCTCAACGACGTTTTATGACGCTTGTTGCTTCTCCCCGCAAACAATTCGCCACTCTCCCGCTTTAAACACTGGTGAGTACATTAAACATGCCTCATACCAATTCAAAACCACCAAACTAATCATATCCGGTGTGTTATTCTCTTCCAACACTCTCCAACAGCATAATTCAGCGGTATTCACGCATTGCCAGGCCAGGAGAAGCTGCGCAAAGGCCGCGCCCAGGTGCAGTGTGCCGTGTTGAGTGTGATTTTCGCGCGTGTGACTTGTGAAATTCGCCACCATAGGCCTCTCGGACACGGCGTTGATGGACATGGTGATCTCAAATTTACAGCAACAGCGCGCTGTGACGGAGCAGCTGCGCCGCGAGGCCGCCATCAAGCGCATGCTCGTCTCGCAGGCGGTCGCCGACATCGTCAAGTTCATCAACGAACACGAGCAGGATGACTGCCTCCTGCACGGCTTCACCAGCCAGCGGATTAATCCATTCCGCGAGAAGAGCTCCTGCACCCTCATCTAAACCACACCACCAGCATCATCTATCTACGCACACAAACACATAAACATAGAATAATTGTGCTTTCATTGTTACTTGAAAATGTTACACTTTGCTTCTGTTCAACGAAAAGAAAAGAAATCATCATTCAGATCATGTAGTCAGTGTTTAATTGTTGCTGCAGTCAGATACAAGTGTGTCGATGTTCAAATCTCTATCAGGGTCCCTTCAATAATCGATGTGATCATAGATGCAGTTGCTATGTTTGTAAATTCTACTATTCTTGTATTCTTTTGATTGTTTGTTAACTTATTAAGCAAAAGATGAACATATCATTGGAGTTCAGCTGTATCTTTTGGTATATGTCAGTCAGATGGAGCAGAATTGTATGGTTTAATTAAATGATAACAAAGTCGATTTGATTAATGTACACAAGTGGGTGTTTCATGTATGTCTGTAATAAAAAAAACAATGTATGACTAAATATATGTGACAATATTTTATATATGTTTCTGTGTTTTCTATGGTTATTTGATTAAAATTACTCTGTGGATGTTTTTTGAGTTGATATTTTGGTCAGTTTAAAGTTTTGAGTGTTAAAACTGTGTTTTTTATGAGTAATTATCACTTTTTAGTGTAAATTGAAGGAATAAATATGTAATTTTGATGTTATAACCTCAAAATTACTTATTTTGAATTTTTCTTGCATTTAAACACGAAAAACAACCAAAATTCGACTTGAAACAAAGAAAAAACGTGTTTTTAGACAAGTTTCAATAGAATTTATGTTTTCTAGCTTCAAAACAACTTGCTTTTTGAATAAAACTATGATTTTAACGTCGATTAACCTCAAAACTCACTTTTTAACATTTTACATCCTTTAAACATAAGAAACAAGCAAAATACAACTTAAACCAATGAAAAACCATAGTTTTAATCAATGGTGAATAGAATTTATGATTTCTGTGGCTAGAAGTACTTACTTTTCAAGTAAAATTATGATTTTAATGTTGGTTAACCTCAACATTCACTTTTTTGCTGTTTTATGTCATTTAAGCATAATAACAATGCAAAATGCAACTAGAAACAAAGAAAAAACATGGTTTAAGACAGTTTTATGTAAAATTTATGATTTTTAGCCATAAATGTACTTACTTTTTGAATAAAACAGTTATTTTAGCGTTTGTTAACCTCCAAACTCAATATTTATCATTTTTAAACATTTAAACATGAGAATCATCATTTAACAATGAAAAACATCCAAAAAAACAACTTCAAACAAAGAAAAAACATGCTTTAAGTCAATTTTAAGTTAAATTTATGATTTCTAGCCATAAATGTACTTACTTTTTGAATAAAACAGTTATTTTAACGTTACTTAACCTCCAAACTCAATATTTATCATTTTTGAACATTTAAACATGATAAACATTCAAAATACAACTTGAAACAAACAAAAAACAAAGTTTTAACCAATTATAACTAAAATTTAAGATTTCTGCACGTAAAAACACCTACTGTTTCAATAAAGCACTGATTTTAACGTTGATTAACCACAAAAATAACTTCTTTTACATTTTTACATCACTTAAACACAAAAAACTACCAAAAAACAACTTGAAACAAAGAAAAAACATATTAATACTCAATTGTAACCAAAATTTAAAATTTCTACTCTTAAATATACTTACTTTTTCCATAAAACAACAATTTCAACGTGGATTAACCTCAAAATCACAATTTAACCTAAAAAAACTATACAAATCCCACTTGATTACAATTACAATATTATTTTATTGTGTCATCTGTATATACACCATCACTACTCATCTTTACAATTCGTTTTGTTTATGTTTTCTTTATACATTGATACAAAATCCACTTTCAGTTACATTCATCGCAATGCTTCCTCTTCCCATCCCACTATATTGACCTAAAGATACTTATTACAATAATCAATTCAATGACGATCGAGATTAGTTAATCAACGTGTAATGTGTTATTTATTCAATGTTTATCACAGCTATAGGCATGCACACGTGTAATGGTATCGTGTTTATGTGTGTAACTACTCAATGCAGGGATGACATTCTGGGTGATATTACGATATATATTTATATATAGAATATAATTGTTTATGCAGTAAGAAATTCCATACAGCGCAATCGAAATGATATCGTTTCATATTACGTATGACGTTCAACTAGAAGCGTTTTGAGAGGAATGTGCAGCCACGAATGAATATTTCAACGAATTGTGCATGCGGGCACTGATTAAACTTTTATCAAAGTGTCAGACACACCCAAAACAAGTCTCGCTTGTTATACGCTCGCGTTTTACTCATCTTAAAACACGAAATGCAATTATTCAATTGGTTGGTGTGTATATTTAGAACAAGATGGACGGTGCTTGTTTACATGCAGTGCTTTTTAATTAGAAAATCCAGGGAGTGAAATTCGTGTGTTTCAATCACCTTGAACCTTTTCTTTCAATTTTCTTTTTACGTGGTGACCTTTGACGTGCGGGTTCGTGCTGTTTTCTTTTACGTGTCTACCTCGAAATGTTTTTGTGAGTGGCAGTTCATTTTCAGCTGTAAACTACGCCAAACATAAAACAGCGAACAAATCATAGATAATACGTGCAGGGACGACTTAATCCTCTTTCGGATGAATAAATAACGTGGATTGTGACACAAGAGATGAAAAATGAGGTTATGAGCTTACAATACACTAAATCAATCAATAAATGCTCCATTCTCGTCAAATACATGTTTAGAAGCTGTTTTTCTAGGTTATGTTTGGTTTAGTATTAATTTTGGGATTGATTTTGATGTTATAACCTCAAAATTCAATTCTTTTGCTTGTTTTACATGAAAAAACAACTTAGGACTATGAAAAACATGTTTTTAGCCACTTTTAAGTAAAAATTTAAGAGTTTTAAGCTTAAAAGTACTTGATTTTTAAATAAAACTGTGATTTTAACGTTGGTTAACCTCAAAATTCACATTTCACCCTTATAAACATGATAAACATGCAAAATTCAACTTAAAACAAACAAAAACGTGTTTCAAAGCAATTTTAAACTAAATTTAAGATTTCCAGCCTTAAAACTACTTATTTCCACAGTAATACTGTGATTTAAACGTCTAATAACCTCAAAATTCACATTTTTCACCACGTTCAGTTAAAATCTACCACGTTTCGTGTTACCAAACATAAAACACCGAACAAATCATACATAATACATGCATAAATCTCTTAATCCCCTCCCAGATGAATAAATAACGAAAAACATGACAAAACAGACGAAAAATGAGGTTATACCATGCTTACAATACACTAAATCAATCAATAAATGTACATTTGTCTTCAAATATATGTTTAAAAGCTGTTTTTCTAGGTTATGTTTGGTTTAGTATTCGTTTTGTGATTGATTTTGATGTTATAACCTCAAATTTCACTCCTTTTGCATGTTTTACATGAAAAAACAACTTAAAACTATGAAAAACATGTTTTTAGTAAGTTTTAAGTAAAATTTATGATTTCTAGCCTTAAAAGTACTTGATTTTTAAATAAAACTGTGATTTTAACGTTGGTTAACCTCAAAATTCACATTTCACCCTTATAAACATGATAAACATGCAAAATTCAACTTAAAACAAACAAAAAACATGTTTTTAGTCACTGTTAACTAAAATTTAAGATTTCCAGCCTTAAAACTACTTATTTCCACAGTAATACTGTGATTTAAACGTCTAATAACCTCAAAATTCACATTTTTCACCACGTTCAGTTGAAATCTACCACGTTTCGTGTTACCAAACATAAAACACCGAACAAATCATACATAATACATGCATAAATCTCTTAATCCCCTCCCAGATGAATAAATAACGAAAAACATGACAAAACAGACGAAAAATGAGGTTATACCATGCTTACAATACACTAAATCAATCAATATTGGCACAATTCTCGTCAAATACATGTTCAGAAGCTGTTTTTCGAGGTTATGTTTGGTTTGCTATTCGTTTTAGTAATGATTTTGATGTTATAACCTCAAAATTCACTTCTTTTCCTTGTTTTACATGAAAAAACAACTTAAAACTATGAAAAACATGTTTTTAGTCAGTTTTAAGTAAAATTTAAGACTTTAAAACTTAAAAGTACTTGGTTTTTAAATAAAACTGTGCTTTTAACGTTGATTAACCTCAAAATTAACATTTTACCCTTCTACATAATTTAAACATGAAAAACATGCAAAATATGACCTAAAACAAAGAAAAACGTATTTCAAAGCAATTTTAAACTAAATTTATGATTTCCAGCCTTAAAACTACTTATTTTCCAAATAATACTGTGATTTAAACGTGTAATAACCTCAAAATTCATATTTTTCACCTCCTTCAGTTAAAATCTACCACATTTCGTGTTCCTAAACATAAAACAATGAACAAATCACACATAATAAATGCATAAATCACTTAATCCTCTCCCAGATGAATAAATAACACAAAACATGACAAAACAGATGAAAAATGAGGTTATATCATGCTTATAACACAATAAACCAATCAATGACTGCACATTCCTCGTCAAATACATATGTAAACTCCGCTTTTCTAGGTTATGTCTCGTTTCCTATTCGCATCCTATCTAATTCGGCATTTCGTACGACTCTGAAGCGCTAACAATAATCATATCAGTGCTAGTGTTTGTGGTGGTTGTCCTTTACAATAGATATAATATTTATATAAAGATATACATGTACAATAAAAGACTCAATAATTCAAAAGATCCAATTCGATAAAAATTCAAAATCGATGGCCGTATTCCACACAATTCGCCAACCCTCATCATCTACCGCCTTCCAGCCGTTGTGATTAACGCTATTAATATTAATTAGATATTTAAGGGCAGGGTTTGGAGGTATTGTGGAGTGTTTTTGCTTTGACTCTGACCACGCATTTAAAAATCGCCTACGATTAACGCTATTATTATCATCGATAAAACGTTTTGGTGTTTCGTTCGTAACTTTTAAACATCATAACTCGTTACTGATTCAATCTTAAATAAGCGAATATATCATAAGACCACGGCAACCAAACACACACGCATAATTGTGTTTTAGTCAACTTATTGAGCAATCGGATCAAGTCTTAAGTCAAAATCTATCATAACGTGTTGATTTAATTGAAAACGTAACCTGTCTCCTACTTGTTCTTATCATTTTTATCCGTCAATTCCTTTCTTACGCTTTAATCAGTCTTGTGCAGCGAGTAGTTCTCGTTGTTTTGATTCTCAATCGTCTCCTTCTGATTCTGGAATATTTTCAGCAAGTCCATCGCCTCTTTCGCTTGGCGTTTCTCGATGAGATAACGCCCGGATGCTTCCTTGAGCTGCTCGAGGAAGACCTTGTCGGGGAAGTGGAGGTCAGCGAAAGAGTCCGGGTCCATATCGCTGAGGAGTTCAAGTTCCGGCCCGCCGAGTAGTGACACATGGCAGAGATTGTGTTTTATCTTATCGACTAGACCGGCTAGTTCAGGCCCACCTTTACCATCGTCCAGTTCATCGAAGGATAATCGACATGGCGGCACTGGTGGCGACCATTTTTCTTCGCTGCGCAGCACCATGAGACTTGTGTGCGGTTCCAGAGTGGCGAAGTATTCGTCGTCGTCGATTTCTGTGCCGTCTGCTTCAAGGACCTGGAAATTTAAGCGTGGAAAACGTGAGAAATTGTTGTGTACGTAAAAGATATTCTCTTGAGTGTCGTAATTTTAAAATATTAAATTCCCTAATGTAGGCAACTTTCCAACCACCACTAACGGCAGAGATGAGAGATTTCGAGGTTAACTTACATTAATACAGATTAAATTTAACTAAAAACAAAGAAAAACGTTAATATCAAGTAGAATTTAATGATTTTAGTCTTAAAACTACTTACTTTTTATGTTTTAACACTGGTTAACCTCAAAATTCACTTTTTTTCTCGTTTTGCGACTGTTCGCAGTCATAAATTTAAAATATCAAATCCCCTAACGTAGGCAACTTTCCACACACCACTAACGTCATAGTCTGGTGATTTTAAAGGTTAGTTGGTATTAATACAGATTATCCCCAGAAGAAATACGAAATTTATGGTTAGAAAAGTTAAAATAATTGCCGTGAGTAAGCACAATAAGAAAGGAATTACGCGAAGTGAAGTCATGCTCGCAACGCAAACGACCGGACCAGTGAGCAGCAAGGGTACGAGGTAATTCTACACGTCGAAATATATTACGTTCGTGGAACCAGCAGGGATGTAGTCGTGTACAGCGGCGGCCATAAATGTTTTCCTGCCGTTATTATTCCGCCGTAAGTTATTGTTATTAGTAAACGTTTCCCAAGGCTCGGACACGTGCCGCAATGTATATCTTATCAAGGTCAAAGTTTATTACTGTATTTTCACCGGAATAAACAAGTAATTAGATCGAAATTAACAAAAAAAGAAGAAAACATCGAATTATAACCTCAAATCAATATTAAGATGTCAAAAGTCGTTGTGGCTGTCATTTTTTTGAGTCAGATAATGTAGAAATCTGTAAGAAGGTAAGTTTTAACCTTAAAGTGCCAAAATGATAATGGATGTCATTTTTTGAGCCAGGTTATGTTTTATCTCTACGTTTTTGCTCCTAAAAGTATCTATAATAGTAAAAATCGGAAAATTCAATTTCCCAAGCGAAGTTTATGACCCACTGTAATGATAGTAATCTGTTGGAGAAAAGATTTTATAAAGTCATGTCATTTTTCATTGGTGGCAGCCATTCTAACCTCACAAAACCAACGCAGACGACAAACACAGCACCAAAGTGGGTGAGTAAAGTGGATGATCCAATAATATTTCGTTATTCTTCCACATCCCCATCCCACAGGAAAATATTAGTTTTCCTAAAATGTTTAACATTGAAATATTTGCGTTCCGTGAAATTGTGTTTGAAGGAAAACTCTTCGCCCACACACGCACCGTATTTGTTTATTCAGTGAATAATTAATTACACGTGGGTCGTCGTTTCGTGAATGTGAAAAACATGCATAAAAACGATTTTTCCATTAGCGCGTTAATATTTCATCATCATTAGGCAGCTTCTTTCACGGCGCGGTGGAAATCTGCGTGCATTTTTTAAATGCCATGAAAAGGGTTGACCGCCAAGGTTGCGGTGTGGGTTTTGGAAAGAGTGACGCTGTTGAAATATGGCGCTCGGTCATTTGGAAACAAGCTTTTCGTTTTCATCACGTCGGGTTTTCGCTTTTCTCTAGCGTTTAGTGTTACATGGTTTCCTCATCACGGCGTTACGTGATCATGTATGAGGGAGAAAATAGTGAAAAGGGCTCTTTTGAGGAGTATAAGGCAAGCATTTCTCAAGATTCATACTTAACCTTATTATAGTTATTAACTGCTGCGATAGAGTTTTAGTAAAATGTTAAAATGTCAAGAAAAATTTAGAAAAAGACTGAATTTTGGGAAGAAAATTTATTTTTGATAAAATTATGTTGAATATGTTTTTGGTAAGATAATGTCGAATAACAACAAAAATTAAGAAAATTTATTAAAAACTCAGATAAAATGAATAAAGAGGGAAAATTAGAAAAAACAGTATTTTTGATAAAATTATGTCAAATAGCAACAAATTTTATAGAAAAAATATTTAAAAAATCACAAAAGCAACAAAAATCAAAGAAAAATAAAATTTCGATAAAATTGTGTCACAAATCAACAAAAAATAGAGAAACACAGTATTTTTCGATAAGATTATGTCAAATAAAAGTTTAACTTAAGAAATAAAGGATTTTTTTGATAAAATCTTGACGAATAACAACAAAAAATTAAGAAAAGTGATTAAAAACTCAAGTAAAATGAATAAAAACGATAAAAATTGAGAAAAACTGTATTTTCTGATAAAATTATGTCGAAAAACTTAAAAGTTTTAAAGAGAAAATATAAAAACAGTATTTTTTGATAAAATTATGTCAAATAGCAACAAATTTTATAGAAAAAATATTTAAAAAATCACAAAAAGCAACAAAAATCAAAGAAAAAATAAAACTTTCGATAAAATTGTGTCACAAATCAACAAAAAATAGAGAAAAACAGTATTTTTCGATAAGATTATGTCAAATAAAAGTTTAACTTAAGAAATAAAGGAATTTTTGATAAAATCTTGACGAATAACAACAAAAATTAAGAAAATTGATTAAAAATTCAAGTAAAATGAATAAACACGAAAAAATTGAGAAAAACTGTATTTTCTGATAAAATTACGTCGAAAAACATAAAGGTTTTAAAGAAAAATATAAAAACAGTATTTTTGATAAAATTATGTCAAATAACAACAAATTTTATAGAAAAAGTATTAAAAATCAGAAAAACGATTAAAAAATAACAAAAATACAGAAATAAAGCTTTCCTTGATAAAATCACAGAGAATCATAACAGGAAATACGAAAAAGATAAAAATTAAAGAAGAAAAATAAGTTTTTCATATCATATTATCACAAAAAGAAAAAAAAATGAATAAAAACTAAGAATATTAAGAATACAAGCAGAAAACTAAAGTAAATTGAGCGAATAATTACACTAAGACACAATATACACTAAAATAACATAATTTTAAACCTTGAATTGTCTTTAAAAATATTTATCTTCGTTAATTGGACACTGTGCAAATTTCCTCACAAAACAAACGTCCAATTATAAACTTATTCAATTCCAAAACAATATACTCGTACTCGTATTTTACCCACTCAAATTTATATAATCAAATTACACTCTTGATTATATTCTCTCTACAACTCTACATTGACGATAATTGATTACTCTAATGAGAATTTAATGACACTATATGCAACCAACAATACGCATCAAACAAAGCGATGCAGAGAGTCGCCGTCAACCTACTTAAGTCATAATTTAACCTTGATTACTGTTTACTTATGTACTTACAACAGTAACATCGCCTTCAATGTCCAGCTTCTCCAACACCTTGGCGGTGAGCTCCTCGAGCGTGGTGGCAACCACACCTTTCCGCGTCTCGCGCGACGAGTCGGTGATTTTGAAGGGATTGCCGCCCCCTTGTTGCGCCGCCGTCGCCGTCGTCTGGTCGTTGCCCTCGTCGTCCATTTTTAGCGCGCGCGCGTGTATTGAACACTAAACCAATACTGCGAACCGAAACTATTACACGGCGTGAGTGTGGAAGGTCAGCGGGAATATAAACTCTACAAACACACAGCTGTAGTAACGGAACACATAACACTCTCTGACAACAAAACAATCACGCGCATTGTTTTGATTTTAGATTGGAAATGCGATTATTATGTAATTAAATTTTATGCGAAGAGGTTTTGAGGTTATTTGTGGGTTGTATGGGTATGGTAAGAGTAGATAATGTGTCGTAACTGAGGAGCGGGAGTGTTTGGAAGAGCGTCGGAGCTCGGCGATGGCTACCGACTGACTGGATAGAGTGGAAAGCGAAAAGAGTATCAGGGGATGTTGGCCGAGGGGATACTACCCTTGAACCCCGCAGTGGCGTTGGCGTCGGGGACGGGAATAGTGGGAATGTACGCGTTGCCTTCTCTGCGAATGGTTTCACGTTCAATTCGTAGGAATATTGCAAAGTTTGAAGTTTTAGGGGACATAATACTCGTAGGTAACCTTAAATTACTTTTGGAGAGAAAAAATATTGTTTTTTGGACAGGTTTCATCAATTTTAAGTTGAATTGCGTTAAAATTCGTGATTTTACGTTAAAAATGTCATTTTTTGTCATAATTTCTAAAGTAATACTCATACTTTTATCAAATTTGTACTAAAATATAAAGAATTAATAACTTTATGGTGTTTTGGGAAGTTTTTATAAAAAATTTCACTGGAACTGCAGGAAAGTTGCAGTTTTTGATGAAGTTTTTACGTTTTTGCTAAAAATTCGAAAAAATAACAAATTTTAAGTCAAACATTGCATTTTTAGCCATAATTACTAAACCAACCATCACATCTTCATCAAATTTGAACTAAATATTATTAACTAATAGCTCTATCGACTCTTTGTTAGGTTTTCTCCGAAAATTAATTTGATTCGCGTTAAATTTTAAAAAACGCAAATTTTATGATTTTTTTCATTTTTTTACGATAATTTCTAAACTAATAGTCACACCTTTATCAAATTTGTACCAAAATGCAAATAATCAATAACACTATTATCTTTTATTAACTTTTTTTCAAAAAATTCACTTAAACTGCAGTAAAATTGCTGTTTTTAATGAAATTTGTACTGTTTTTCGCAAAAAATGCGAAAAAAGATCAAATTTTAAGCAAAATTCAATTATTTTGACATTATTTCATGAAAAACAGTTATTTTAAAACATTTTACATTTGACATATCAAATTCTACTAATTTATATCTCTGCTTGTTGTTTAGACACGTGTGAAATTGTGGTTTTAGCTTAGTTTCTGGCCGGTTGGAGAAATTGCCAGACGCACAACTCGCAGACATTATCGATTTTGTCGCGCTTCGGATACCGCTCGGAAATTTCACCCAAAATATCCACAATGCCTAAAATGTCTAAAATTCACTAACAACAATCCTGCCATATTCCGTTATCTTGACAATGTCCTACCACAACTTAAATTATATTCACACATTCAAAACATAACACACAAAATTAATCATCATCATCAAAGTCATTTGAAGGTCGTCTGCCACTTCCACGAGTAGTCTAGACTGTTTTTTATTATTCTGTATTATTCCACATCTAAAAACATTAAATTTAGTGGTTTAGGGATAAAAGCACAAAGCTCACAATGAATATTTCAACATTTTAAAGTAAATTCGGCTTAAAACTTGTTTATTTAACAAATATCTAATACAATTACGTATATTCGTGACTCGGGCAGTGAGTAAGCTTACTTCTCCGCGTAGATAATGTCGTAGACACTTCGTGGCAGATGATAAGCGATAAAAGCTTCGATTTTTTCCTGGCGCGTGACAGGCGTGTATCTTGGCAGCGGGAAGGTCCTCGTTGTTGCATCGACAAGTGAACGTAACACTTGAGTCAAATCAGCATCCTAAATAGATGAAAATATCGGTTATGTAGGGTTATGTATATTGGGTTGCCTATATTAACATATACATACAGGTGATTTAGTGTACTTTTCCAAACTGCGCACGGCACGCTCGAAATAATCCTCGCCGTAAATTTGTTTCTGTTCCTGCGACATCTGTCCCCACATATCCCTCGCCTGCTCCCAGAGGTCTTCATCACTCAACCAACTACTTCCGGAAGTGAATTCGCCGGGAGCAACCACAACGACATCCACTCCTTTCGAACGTAGTTCTAACCTCAAACATTCCGCCTGTGCTTCGATGGCAGCTAGTAAAGAACAATGAATTCCACGTACAGGGGATGTGATTTTTGATAAACCGGAAGACATGAAGACGATACGACCACGTGCACGGCGTAATAAAGGCAACATTAATTGATTCACACGTGTGGCTCCCATTAGGTTAACTTCGGTTGCTTTACGAATAACCTAAAATTAATTTTTTTATAAAAATGTTTTTTTTTTTAATTTTTTTGATTACTTGTTGTGGTATCCATTCGATTTCACCGAGAGCAACCCACTGTGCACAGTGTACGACCGCCCATAGACCCGGAGCGCCATCTGGTAGATTTTCCACGGCGTGTAACGACGCTGACAGGATTTGTGTTTCTTGTGATACGTCCAGTTGCAGGACGTGGAGGCGCGCGGAAGAGTCCTCCTTTAAATCATCGGCGAAAGGACTGTTGGCGTTCTGGAATCCTGCGAATACTGTGAAGCCTTGTTCGTCTAGATACCGCGCGAGGGCGTAACCAATGCGAGAATCACAACCCGTGAGTAAAATTGCTTTTCCTGCTGCTGTAACCTATCAAAATAGAAAATATTTTTTGATAAATGTTTATTTTGTTACTGTTTGATGGTGATATTAATCAAAAAATTATGTTTTTTCTGGGTATTACGCATAATTTAATTACGGAATTAATTTTATATTTACCGAATAAAAGTTGCGCGAAGTTTGCTGATTAAACAAAGTGATAAATGAATTACTTTTCGCTCGCTCGCTGCGGCGATGAAACACATTGATATGCGGAGCGCGAGCGCGAGCTTATATCGCGTGTTAATTACGCTGTTTTTCGGTACGAGTATGAAAATGACGCTTCCAAGAATTACAAATGTTATAGTTCATCTCTGAGCACACATCACCTTGCGCCACAACTGTCAATTAATTATTAACAAATGACATTTATTGGATGAATAACAATTACAGTCATTTTCGCATCAGAATTCGAAATAGAAATTAAATATGGAAATTCAATAAAACCGCGCCGATGGAAAATTTAATAAGAGCCAATCGAGCGGCAGTAATCAAATGCCATTGCCAATATTGCGCGCCGTTTTTCCAATCGGCTGGCGCGCGGAAATATTTGTTTCCAGTTGCGGCGGTTCTGAGACGCTTTGAATTGGGTGGGATTTTTTAAATATGCTGCGAATAAATAAATAAATATCAATATTGGTTTGTTGCTGGGGTGGCGCGTGGAGCTTTAATATTTTCCGACACACACTTCGTCAACTTTGACCTTCGCCGGCGGAATAATGTTGATAATGCCTAATGAGTCGTAAGGACCCGGGAGACTATAGCGAAAATGTATCCTCTTCAGCGTGCAAACTGTTTAACATTATATTTACGAGTAGATACCTATTTTGATAAATGTGGGAATGTTGGGTGTGTGCAAACAACAGTGGAATAATATTTAATGGAAGGTTTTATGGAAATGTGTACTTGAATTGCGTTGAAATTAAGAGAAAATTGAATTTTTGCAAAAATTACGTTTTTCGCTATAATTTCTAAATTAATAGTCATATTTTTATCAAATTTGTATCAAAATATAAATAATTATTTATTTTATTGATAATCATAATTTTCTTTTCAAGTTTTTACTTGAAATGCAAAAAAATTGCGATTTTTTGACAAAAATTTACATTTTTTTGCGAAAAAGTAGTGATTTTAGGCAAAAAATTACATTTTTGGCTATAATTTCTAAATTAATAGTCACATCTTTATCAAATTTGTATCAAAATATAAATAATTATTTACTTTATTGATAATCATAATTTTTTTTTAAACATTTTTACTTGAAATGCAAAAAATTGCGAGTTTTTGACAAAAATTTACAATTTTTTGCAAAAAAGTAGAAAATTACATTTTTGGCTATAATTTCTAAAGTAATAGTCATATCTTTATCAAATTTATACCAAAATATAAATAATTATTTACTTTATTGATAATCATAATTTTTTTTTCAAAAGTTTTACTTGAAATGCAAAAAATTGCGAATTTTTGACAAAAATTTTGATTTTTTTGCAAAAAGTAGAAAATTACATTTTTGGCCATAATTTCTAAACTAAACTTATAATCACACTTTTATCAAATTTGTACCAAAATATAAATAATTAAGGCCTTTATCATCTCTTGCAAACGCATTTTCAAAATTTTTACTCAAAATGCAAAAAAAGTGCAAATTTCTTCAAGAATTTTACGTTTTTTTTTTTCACGAAAAATTGCATATTTAGAAAATGTCATTTTTGCCACAACATCTAAACCAATAATCACATCTTTATCAAATTTGTACCAAAATATAAATAATTAAAGCCTTTATCATCTATTGCAAACACATTCCTAAAATTTTTACTTAAAATGCAAGAAATTTGCAATTTTCTTCAAGAATTTAACATTTTTTTCACGAAAAATCGCAAATTTTATTTAGAAAAGGTCATTTTTTGCCATAAATCTAAACCAATAATCACATCTTTACCAAATTTGTACCAAAATATTAACAATTAACAACTTCACTTCTTATCGTTAACGTTTTCCAAAAATTTTCACAAAAACAGATAAAAATTTCTAATTTTCCCAAAAAATTTTCTTTTTTTCTCTAAAATCCTGTAAAAATCAAGTTTACCTTAAGATTATGATAGCATAACACCCCTCCAATGGTAGCCAAAGTAAACCATATGAATAAGGTCATCGTGGTCACCTGCGAAATGTGCAGGGTGTTGAGCACCGTGCTGAGAATAATCGCGGCTGCATGACAGAAAATAACCGGCAGCAGGCACCGGTCGACCATATCCCAAGGCACCTCGCGCTGCTGTTCTTTGCCGATGCCGCCCAGCCCAACACCTGCATGCGACACGCCGAGCGACGAACGGCGGCGGCGTGCCGCCGCATCTCCGCCCGTCTTGGGCAGCGCGATCGCCGGCAGCGATTTCAGAGACGCACGGCGTTTAAACGGCCCGCTCATTTTTCTACTTTCGCACTATCGATTAAATAATAACTCGCGATAAACTAAAATTAAGATGCGCGTCGCGACGCTCTCAGAATGCGACTGGATGGCGCACCGCTGGCGTTTCGGCAGTTATTTGCGTCACTCCGCGCCGAATGCACGGATGGCACTTTGGATAAATAGAGAATTTAAAATTGGCTGCGGTTGAAAATTTTTGGGCGAAAACGGGAGCACAATCCGCTATTTATACATTTTGCCTATTCACGCGGGGTGCTGCAATATGCTTTGGAAAGTATAAGGGACTTGAATTTTTTATAGATTATTTACAAATTTTGCGATTTCATCGGTGTCGCTGGGAGATATATCAATTTGATTTGCCAGAAATCTGTAGATTTAAATAAACACTATTATTTTTATGCATGTTTTTCTTCAAAATACTGAAATTGCTAATGGATTTTAACAAAATTCGAAAAAATAACAAATTTTAGACTAAGAATGTTATTTTTGCGTTTTTT